TAGAGAAATTACTTCAAGAATTTGTAGAAAGTACAGAATGCTGTTTTCTTAGCTATTAAGATTAGCCAGCTACTAAGCTTTTCTTGTATCTCGGTATTTTTCGTGACACCTTCTAGTTTTGAAGTGAGAACGTCTTAAACGTAAACTTCTGCTCTCGCAACAGATCATAGATAACAAATACAACTTACGTTTTGCTTGTAGTAGTCAATTTATAGGAATTTATTCTCCCTTGTATACCACCTGAAAGATATAGTCTGTGCTGTAGGTGCATCTGTTGTTTCAACAGTCTGCCACGGCAATTTTTTTCATTTGCGTATACGCGAGTGTGAATAGATCGGCGATCTAAAAGTCATCGCAAAATTTTTATGCATTCAACAGGCACATAGACCAAATGTCATCATTAGCTCGCTGAACCGCATTAAAAAAAAAAACGATAATGATCTCTTTAATAATTGGTAGATGTTGCCATCGGTAAGATCTTAAAACTTATTATCGAAATTTTAAGGATTTTCGTATATTATACATAAAAAATAGATTTTTACTATTAAAAGCTTTAGGCTAGGAAATCATAATTGAAGTTTTTATTAGCTTAAAAATTATATTATATAAGCTTAATTGAATGAGCGATTTGTAAAATTCCACAATTATCTCATAATATTTAGGATTTTGGATAAATCCTGCGCTCCTGCATTATTTGTTATGTCCTGACGAATATAAATACTTCTATTTTACAATTGAACATTTATTTTGAACTGATGTATATATTTTGCACTCAAGTTAGTAATATTAAATAATTTTCTCATTTCCAAATCCACCTCCGCCAGGAGTCATGATAATTATACGGTCTCCACTATTCACCTTAAGAGAACATTTGCCTCCAATAGAAATTTTTTGATGTGCATGGGATTTCGCTAATTTCCTGAGCCAGTAATTCTCTCCTCTCAAACCGGATCCACCTCCTGACAAACCGAATGGTGCAATTGACCTTCTTTCCATTAAACATGAAACTTCCAAATTCGCCATAGTAAATTCAATATCCCTGATTATTCCGTTACCACCATTATGCTCACCTACACCACCTGATCCATGTCTGATTGAAAACTCATGTAGTATAACAGGATATCGCTTTTCAAATATTTCGACGTCAGTCATTCTAGTATTTGTCGTGTGACATTGGACAGCATTTTGACCTTTCCAGCTTGGACCTGCACCAGATCCACCACAAATTGTTTCATAATATCCAAAAGAAACATTGTTTTCTGGATTATTGATTCCAAAAGTGAAGTTATTACAAGTTCCCTGTGATGCGGCAACCGCTCCAAATGCCTTTAAAAGAACATCTACTATTCTTTGAGATGTCTCAACATTACCTCCTACTACTGCTGCCTCTGAAGAAGGATCTATTAGAGATCCATGTTTTGTTATCACCTTGATAGGAGCTAAACATCCGTTGTTCAAAGGGATATCTTCACTTATCAAAGACCTTATGACATATAGAATTGCAGAATACAATACAGCTTTTGGTGCATTCAAATTACCATAGATTTCGTTACCAGAATTAGAAAAATCAAAAATTGCATCACCAGTATCAGAATCTATTGAAATTAACACAGAAATCGGAGTTCCATCGTCTAAATAGTCAACTGCATACAATTTCTTACCATTGAATTTTTTATCAGTCAATTTCAATAGTCTTCGAACTGATTCACTTGCTGTAGACTGAATTGCTGACATATATAGATTTATAACGGGATATGTGAAATCGTCGACCAAATTATTCAATAAAGAAATACCTTTGTAATTTGCAGCTACCTGTGCCTTTAAGTCTGATATGTTGTCGCTCAATGCCCTAGTGCCTGAGCACCCAGGGTATGTGGAAGGTTCTTCTAACAATAGTCTTGTGATCCCGTCTTCATCAAAATTTCCTTCTACGCATAATTTATGTGTAACAATCGCTGCTCCCTCTTGGTGAATAGATTTAGAGTTAGGAGGCATACTACCAGCGGAAATTGATCCTATGTCGGCATGATGTCCTCTAGAGGCTGTCCAAAATATCGGCTTATCATTCTCATCTAAAACAGGTGTTATTACAGTAATGTCAGGTAAATGAGATCCACCAGCTATAGGATGGTTTGAAACCAAAACATCCCCTTGTTTTAATTTTCCATTCCAGATATTAATCTGGGATTTAACTGCAAAAGACATAGCACCTAAATGAATTGGAACATGTGGTGCATTAGCGACTAAGTCGCCATTACCATCGAAAACAGCACAAGAAAAATCTAATCTTTCTTTTATATTAGTTGATATTGCTGTTTGTTGTAACGTATTGCCCATTTGTTCGGCAATAGACATAAACCGATGAGCGAAAACAGACAACTGAATAGGATCAACTTTTCTGCTTGATATATCATTTTCCTTCTCTTTATCAACTTTGATCAATATATGTTCTTTGAGTGATATGGCCTTTGATTGTGGCTCAATTAAAATAGTTTGGGTCTCATCTATTATTATAGCAGGACCATCTACAACCTTTCCCACCTTTAAATTTAAGTCATTCAAATTGTAAACTGATGACTGGAGCCAACCATGTTTCTCAAAATAAACCATTTTAGTTTCAAAAGGATCATCTGCAATTCCAAGAGTATATAACTCCTTATATTCCCCAAATGGATTTGAGCTTTCACATTCCGACCTTTGTATAATTAATAATACTTGAACATCATCGACTATGATTTTCCGATCTAAGACGAAGCCATACTCATTTTGATGCCTTTCAATGAATTCTGCAGCACAATCGTAGTTTCCCTCTCTTTTTGGAATTAACAAATGAGTATCTGTTCCCACATATTTCATATTAAAGTAAACTTCCAATTTACTGGAAAACCTATCTAAATTTTGCTTCGAACAATCCCAATATACTTGGTTGACTAAATCTTTTACCTTATTATCTAGCTCAACAAAGTTCCGTTCTTCGAAAACCCAAGAAGCTGGAGACTGTTTTTCAATAAGAATATCAGCCAAGTAAATCCCATAGGCAGATAACAAGGAGGAATATTTATGTATAGCAACTTGTGAAATTCCTAGATTTTTGCATAATGAAACGGAAAACTGTCCACCAGAACCACCGAAGCATGCTAAGTTATGATCTTGAGTGCTAAATCCTTTTGCCTCTGTCAATGCTCTAATTGGTCTGCACATAGATTCAATAGCAATTTTCAAGAAACCACTTGCAACCTCTTCGGGTGTTAATTTGATTCCTTCAGATTTTTTATCTTGATTAATGATATAAGTTAACTCTTCAAACTTTTTGACAGTTATATCATAATCTAATGCTTCGTCTTGGTTTGGACCGAAAATCTTAGGGAAATATTCCGGCAATAACCTACCTAAATATAAATTTGCATCAGTAACGGTCAAGGGACCACCTTTTCGGTAACAGGCTGGTCCTGGATTGGAGCCAGCTGATTCAGGACCAACTACAAACATTCCATTCTTCCAAAATAACATTGAACCACCACCTGCTGCAACTGTTGAAATATCTAATTGAGGTGTTTGTAAACTGACTTCACTTACAACTGATTCAAATATGTGATTAAGCTTTCCTGAAAACCTTGAAACATCAGTTGATGTACCCCCTGCATCGAAGCCAATAGTTGCCTTAGTCGAATCAGAATCAAAACATGTTTTTCCGTATCCTACCATACCGCCAGCAGGGCCAGATAGGATTGCTTTCAAACCTGTAAATTTATACCACGGGCACAAGCCGCCATTGCTTTGCATAAATAATAACTTATTACCGAAAGCATCTAGTCCACCTTCGAATCCCGATCCAAAACTAGTCAAATATTCTTTAATAATAGGTGTTAAATATGCATCTGCAACTGTCGAGGATGTTCTGTTAACCATGCCTATCATTGGTTGTAATTCATGAGAAACGGAGACTTCAAATCCTATTTTCCTACAAATTTTTGCAATTTCAGATTCATGTTCTGGAAAAACATATGAATGCAATAAGCTCAACGCAATACACTTAATTTCCCCTCGATTAAACAAAGCCTCTAATTCTTGCTGTATATAATCGTAGTTAGGCTTCTTTATTATTCTGACTAAATCTCCTGTAATCCCTTTAACTAAAGTTTGATCGTGATTCTTATCAATTTGGCAATCGTTATTTTTACTTTCAGAGATACCTTCAATAGTAACTCTTTCATCAATTTCAAGAACAGTCTTATACAAATGATCTAATTTCTTAGCTTTTAAGTCGAAAATATTAGGTCTAGTTTGATTTCCAATTGACAATACATCTTTAAACCCTTTCGTAGTAAGTAAACAAACATCGGATCCCTTTCTCTCTAATAAAGCATTGGTTGCAACAGTAGTACCCATCCTAATACTTTTGATAGAATCCAATTTCAATTTTTCATGTTTCGGAATGATAGTATTATAAGCACGTTCCAATACCCTTCTAATTCCTTCTGTTGGAGCATCTTTGTAGTTTTGCGGATCAACTGATAATAGTTTGAATACATAGTCCTCTTGGTTTGGGATTATAGCGATGAAATCACAAAACGTTCCACCTCTGTCAATAGCTATTTCAATTCCTGAATTCATTTTTCTTCTCTTTTAGTTGTAATCCAAGTTTAATAAATTGAAATTGGACAATTATAGTCACTTATATATAGACATTATTATAATGGGACAAGTGGGTTATAAATTTCATTGACCTTTTAATCTCGGACATATTATCCGATTATTGCAAAATTTGGAACGGGCATGCATGAATAATAAATGCATCATGTGCATTTTTGAAATTAAATGGAGTTAGATAGCCGTACTTCTGTGATTTTTTCATCTATTACAGGCATCTTCAAAAATAATATGCTTAATTAAATATATTTTAGTTTGAATTAAATATAGAAATAACTTATAAATTTATGACTTCATTGTCTTTAATATCCAAAATTAACATATGACCAGGTGAATGGCCCATGACTTTTCCGCTAATTGCAGCACCAACTTGTTGTACAGCAACTTGAGGTGTAACACCGCATCCCCAGAAGATGGGAATTTCATCATCATCGATTTTGATTGCATCCCCGTACTCTGGATTATTGAGATCCTGTATTCCTAAGCGTTCTACAGCGTCATATCCCCAGTCAATTGGTTCCCCATGGGTTTTTCTAAATTTTCTACTTATATTGCGAACTTTTTCAATATCTTTGAGCTTATATGGTCTCATGCTTACCACAGCATGACAATTTTTGAAAATACCAGCAGGATTGAGTAGTATATTAGTTCTAAACATTGAAACGTTGGAGCCACTTAACGTATGCTTGGGTTTAAGGCCGTTTTTACTAAGTGCATTCTCGAAGGAAAATGAACAACCTATTATAAATGCTATGTGATTTCCACACCACTCGTCTGTAATATCTAGTTTGGTAGAAAGAAGCTTTCCATGCTCATATATGTTATATTTAGGGATATCAGTAGTTATATTAAAATCCTCATCATGAATTATCTCCTTATTATTAATCTCTCGGGGATTTCCAACGGGAGTTTGTCCTAATAATGGACAAAACACTGGATTCCTATAACACAAGTCAATGAAATCTACTGCTGCGTCGTTCGGTAACACAATTAAATTACCTTGTCCATAACCAGGACAAAGTCCTGATGTATTTGTGGTATGTCTACCAGATCTAGACTCAAGTCTAATACGGTGGGCTGAAGATATCATATTTTTTTAACAGAGCACAAGCCAATGTGACCCGTCGTTAATTATCTAGGAAAGGCATTCATTTTATAAATTTTCGGACAATTTGTCCGATCATAATAATAAAATTTGACCTTGGGTCACATCATGATTGAGATAACAGTTTTTAATCTATTGTTAGCTATTATTGTATGTACTCCTTTTTAAGTATTTGCGGGTTTAATAAAATTTCCTCTCAGCCATTAGCTCAGGAGATTCTAACCCGACTCTTAAAGTGCCTTGACAGGTTTTCGGACATATTCCCCGAGTCAAAAAGAGGAGTAGTGGAGGAACTGATATTGCTTATATTCCTTATATACAAAACATGCATATTAGAAAGATAACTATCAGTTTCATATTTTAAACCTTTTGATATATATACTGATAATCGTATCTACCTTAGAAAAATTGTGATTTCAGTATGTCAAAAATATGAATGAAGAAAAGGAAAACTCTATATATAATGTCAATGAGGTTGGGCCAAATGACACACCCAGCAATGAAGTCACTGCTGAAGAAAAGAGGTTCATCCGAAAAATGGATTTCCTATTAATACCAATGTTTGGTTCAATGTATTTTTTTTCATATTTGGATAGATCAAATATAGGGAATGCTAAACTTGCGGGTATGATGGAAGATATAAATTTGACAGATAGTCAGTTTTCAACTGCCAGTTCAGTTTTGTATGCAACTTATATTACTGTACAAATTCCGGGAGTCTTGTTATTTAGGATGTTCAAAGCTAATCACTATTTGGCTGGTATGATGTCAGCTTGGGCACTAGTTACTATATTTAGTGTTTTTGTTAACAGTTATGGCTCCTTAATTGCAACTCGAGTCTTAATTGGCGTTTTTGAAGGGTCTTTTTATTCATGTTTGTCAGTCTATATATCAAACACGTATCAACCAAATGAAATGGGTAGAAGATTTGCATACCTTTTCATTTTTTCTGCATTTTCATCTGCATTTGGTGGGTTAATTGCAACTGGAATAACTGAAATTAAGACAGGTCCCCTTCCTAGATGGAAATATCTTTACTTAATTGAAGGATTATTAACTATGGTTGCAGTATGTTTCGTTTTCTTTTTTTTGCCAAGCGAACCACGATATCTTGCAAAGAATAAGGAACAACGTGAAATTTGGGATATAAGAGAAAAAAGAAGAGCATTATTTTTAGGGTCTGGTGATTTTGATAAGAGCCAAGTGAAAGAAGCCTTTAAGGATTCTAAGCTTTATTTTTCAATTATTATTCAATTCTGTCAGGACATTTGCATGTATGGATTTACTACGTTCTTACCTTCAATATTATATGGAATTGGTTTTAACGATTTAGAAGCTCAATACTTGACAATTCCAGTTTATATTTTAGCTGGGGGAATTTTCCTAACGGTAGCAACCTTGTCTGATCGGTGGAAAATTCGTGGACCAATAATAATATTCATGAATCTAATAAGTATATCTGGATATATTATCTTGTTAGCGGTGCATAACAATTCTGTTAAATATTTTGCCTGCTATCTCATTACATTTGCGTTATACCTGAATGTAGGTCTTAATGAAACATGGCTAGCTGGAAATTCTGCTCCTATTGATAAGAGGTCTACATCTATTGCAGCTAATCAAACGTTTGGTAATGTTGCTGGCATCATTGCCCCATTAGTTTACAGGTCCTCCCCATATATTTTGGGCCATACATTTACTATTGCTTGCTTGGTGGTTTCTTGTATAACAGCTGGAATTCAATCATACATATTCTACAGAATAAATCGAGACAGGCTGTTGCTTATAATCGACGAAGAAGAAAAAGAAGAACATTGTATTGGAGATAAATCTATTCATTTCCAGTATATGATCTAGTTCTATATATAAGTATAAATTAAATCAATTTGAATTATATATTAGTTAGAAGCTTTATTCTATAAATATTCAACTATTGTATTCCATTATTTATAGGTCTATCTATCCAGAAGAGGAGGACTTGCGAATAGAAACCTGAATTGTAAACAACTAATCAAATAAATCAGCAAAACCTAAAGCATCATTTATATTAAACAAGTCTTCATTAAAATTAATAAAGCTTTCTAAACTTGGAATGGCAAAATCTCCAAAGAAGTCTTCCTGTCCATCCATTTTTATTATATCAGGCGTTGGGAATTCTCTCGATTCTATTTGAGTGTATCTAGCATTATCAATGTTTTCCTTATCATCTTTATTTATATTAAGACAGATTAGTTCATAGCTCTTCCTGGAAAGCTTCCAATTTCCAAATTTTAAAACTTTTAAAAACAAATCCAATTTTATATCCAATTCTTCATTAGGCGAGTTTTCAAGTGAAGTTAAGATAACACTGATGGACATAATTGATGCGTAGGTAATCAATAACGAAGTCTTCTCCTTAGCATTAAAGTCCTTTAAAAATTTCAGTATCACAATGTATAGGTCGTTGATTATTTCGTAACAAATCAGCATTGGTGAATTATCTGAATTGTCAGTATGAGAAGAAAGAAATGGTCTATTAAAGCAAAGCAACATAATGTAATAAGTATAGCGCAAGCCCATAACACATGGATCGTACTTATCTGACTTCAAGTTGTTTTGATTCCAAGATAAGTTCTCTGGCAATTCTCTTCTCCATTTCATCACTTCATGATTATATTCATGTAATTCAGTTATTTTAACACGTTTTTCAGCAATAAATATTTTATAAAAATAGTTAGCAGATAAAGAGAATAAGCTCACATTTTTTTTTAAAGGTAAAGCAACTTTATACCTAAAACTTGGATCATAAAATTCGAAACTTTCGATATTCTTCGGTAATGGTAGATTATCGGAATGTGGAATAGTCGAAATTGAGAGTCGTAACTGGCAAGGTCTACCCAACAATAGACTTATAAAATGGTCTGCAGTATAACAACCCCAGTAAATCCGTTTTCTAATTTCAAGATCCTGAGCGGATAAACTTTGCTTATTGTTAATATGCCAGTTTTGTGGGTTTAATTGAAACCCAATATCTATACCCATTCTGAATGCTATACCACTAAGAAGCCAAGCTGAAGAATTGTCCCCTTCACCTAGATCGTAAAATGCGAGACATAGTAATGCTTGTATTGTAGTTATTTTAGGTAAATTTAGCTTATTAAATATCATTCTCTTTGCTCTATTGTAATATTCATAGGATTCAGATTCGGCTTTTGGTTCGTTTGATATTTTCGAACTGAGAGCCACTAAGCTATACACTAATTCTTCAGAACAATATGTGGATGTCAGATGATTTGCCTTGTTGTCATACTTTACTTCGAAAAACTCAGTCAAAAAGGAGTCTCTGTGAATAAAAGTGAAATGATCAGTATACTGCCACTTAAAAAAGGTTGATATTTTCTCACATATACCTAGATTTTTCCTAAGCTTGTTGGTATCGTTTAGAGAATTGGGAGACTCTGAATACGAAGCTGAGACTGTTTCGATTATCCTATCATTATAAACAGGCAATGAATCATATGCTGTCAGATTATTTAGATGGGTCAAATTCGTTATCTGATTGTTTCCCGGTTCAGTGTGTTCTATTTCTTCGTGACTGACTAAATCGCAAAGATTAAGTGAGTTCAATATGGGAATGTGATCCTCTAATGGGCAATCTTGCAATTTCTTCAAAACTTGTTCCAATTTGGCCACTCGATATTCAAGTGACTTAACATATGTATGAGAATAGTTTTTCCTTCTCAAATCTGAAGTTGTAGGCTCACAGTAACGACTATTCTTAGCGCAGTTACCACAAGGAACTTGCAAATCACACTTGATCTTCTTTGCTCGGCATGACTTGCAGCTATTCAGTTAGTATACTGCTTTGTTTATTAAGGCCTATCGAATACTTACGATAATTTGACTACATGAGGATTCCTTTCGGGCTTCGTGGTCTTGTTTTGCGTTTTACCCATATTAAATTGCTTTCATGAAGGTTATGGAAAAACTGGTTAGGTCAAACATGCAAACATTAAAAGCACTATTCAACGTTGCTTATTTCTCGGACAGATATTATTTGGCCCAATGGTTGTAATAAAGAATATTTCTAACCAGTTGTACGGTAATCTCGATAACGAAGTATACCTTCAGAGTGCGTGGAATACTAAACTCAAGCAGAAGATGTCTCTTATGTGCACACAAAAGACCTTCTATAAAAAGAGGCTCTGTGGCCGAGTGGTTAAGGCGGTAGACTCAAGTTCTACTATCGTAAAGATGCACGAGTTCGAACCTCGTCGGAGTCATTATCTTTTTTTTTGAATTTTTCTTACGCTGGTGTACCGAGACCGCTACAACATGCAGTCTTAACGGACAATATATCATAGCTTTACTTAGTGGGTCTAGTATCAACTAAAAACTCCACTATGCACTCACCATGTCTACCACCTACTCCGAAGCAAAATATGAAGGGTTCAATCAATACCTTCATGCTATGTCTTCTCCGACGTCAAAAACTTTAAACTTCCCTCTTCTAGAAGCCACTCTTGCCTTATACATGACTTGCGTAACTACAAGTCACCTAATCTGCTAATAGAACTACACGTGGTCTTGCATAGAAATATGGTTTGGCCTGAGTTTTTGTGTCATGACTTTATGAACTTGACAAACTATGCAAATTGCCTTTGATACCTATCAATGGTCGGTTCCACGAGGTACTTACTTAGGTTGTAGTAGTATCATTATGTAGCCCAATATTATAGACTATTGCAGCTAGCCTTGACAGACGAAGCGAATTGGATTAACGACCACAACACGTGTTAAATAATTTGTGCGAGATCCTTTATACAGCAATACCACACTATAACTGAGAAAACGTTTCTTACAATAAGTGATTTCTTCTTGATAAAGGCCATATTATGGAATATATATAATTAGTTGTCCTGAGATTATAGATTGAAGTTATATTACAAGCAAAAGTCTACTGTGTACGTAATTGTAATATACTTTTCTTATCTATATACATATAAATATATGAGCTTACTACAAAGGGTATCTCCGTTTTTATCACCTCATGATCGGGGATATTTGCATAGAACAACAACAACAACATCAAGATCCATCGGCTTGTTTAGTATGCCTGAAATAAGTCCAGACATAAGAATGGGATGCGTCAAAGAAGAAAGCAAAGAGACTGGGGGTCAACCGAACGAAGGGGATGCGATGAGCCGGGAAATATCAGATTCGTTTCTTTCTCAGTACATGAAACAACCACAACGTAAGAATGCATTATCTAGCCATGAAATATACTTCAAATCAATAGACAAAAATCGGACGGATAAGACTTACGATATATATGAAAAATACTTGGTGAAGAGTAAGAGCGAACCGGTGAGGAAGAGAGACGCCGATACACAAAAATTGCATCAGAAGAGGAATGTTGAAGAAGATATAATACCGATAATACGGAAACGTAGGGACGAAGAAAGGACGAAAAACCATGGAAGTGAAGTAGAGATACGACTGGCTGGTACAGCGATAGCGACAGAATCGCCGGTAGACACTGGTTCATACCCTGAGACAAAACTCAAACAGGTAACCAAAAAGTTGGCTAAGGAATTCATGGAATGTGCAATAGATGATTTGATAAATCTATTATCGAGAATGTTGCGGTCATTGATAAACTTGAACGATAAAAATGTTCCAGCATCAATATCGAATCCTCAGGAAAAATCGTCATCGAGCAATAGGGTCTTGACCCGGTATCACTCACGTACGCCTCCGGGAATATCTATTCGTACGTACTTAACCAGATTGACAAAGTTCAACAATTTTACCGCTGCGACTCTTTTGACCACCATCTACTACATTGATTTATTGTCGCATCATTATCAGCCGTTTTTCACTCTTAATTCCTGGACAGTACATCGGTTCCTTCTCGTGGCAACCATGCTCGCACAAAAGCTGATGGAAGACTTTTTCTACACTAATGAACATTATGCAAAAGTCGGAGGTGTGGCCATAAGTGAGTTAAACTGTTTGGAACTCGATTTTTTGAACCGGGTCGATTGGAGGTGTGTGCCCGCAAAGCAGTTAGAAAATGGCAAATCTAGCATCAAATTCGCAAAAGATGTCTTGGACCTATATTACGGCCAGTTGATTCAGTTGATGGGCAAAAACGTCTCTCTTGATGATGAGGTGATATATTTCTCCAATAAAGATACTTCATACTATGAAGCAGGAGGTCACGACGAAGAAGACGATGATGAGATAGGGGAAGAGGAAGAGGGAGAGGAAGAGGAAGAGGAAGAGGAAGAAGAAGAAGAAGAAGAAGAAGAAGAAGACGACGACGAGACTGAATTTGCATCCCCCACTATATACAATCCGTCAATAAATCATGAAAAGTATAATTCTATGGGATTTAGTGTCGATAATTCCTCATCGCCCCATCTAAAGAGAAGATTCTCAGTGAATTTCACTGATTAGCATAAAACTAATATGGCTACTATAATTATGTAATATATAAATATAATTCGGTACTATCAAGGTAGAGTATATTTTTATCATTGACTTCTCGACTTACAAGTATTAGTAATAGAAGCCTCAAGTTGCCTGGAAAAGGCTCGAAGAAGCAAGAAGCCGATACATCCATACACCAAGAATTTTATAGCCGTGTTATTTCCGTCTATATTTACATCATCGCATGTTAACGCCGTCTATGGAGTAGATTGAATATCTAAGACCATTAATCCTTCAATTTAAGAATATCTAAAAGGGTTCGATAGTTAAAGCTCAGTCACAATGGGTGTTAATTCGATATCCAATTCTCATGATGGTGCAGTACTGGCCAGCAGTATTAATGAATATTATGGGGCTGACCAGGAAGCAATTGAGCAGAACAGTAGGTTAGAGTTGGTAAGGTCTATCACCGGTGGAAATTCAGGAAATGTATTGGAAAGACTTGAAACTTTATCTCGGGAGATGTCTAGAAGAACTACGCGTGATGGTAGGATTGAAATAGACCCAAACAATTTTGATTTGCATAAAATTTTACTGAGTTTCATTGAAACGTCTAAGAGTCAAGGAATCAAGTTGAGAAAGTCGGGAGTCAGCTTTAAGGATTTGACAGTTTATGGTGTTGATGAATCGTTTTCAGTTGCTGTGACTGTCTATGATTTGATGAAAGGTCCAATTGGAGGAATTCAGAGAGCAATTGCCAAGCGTAAGATTCAGGACAAAAAGATCATAAGGAACGTGAATGGATATGCTAGAAGCGGAGAAATGGTTTTGGTATTAGGGAGACCTGGGGCTGGTTGTTCTTCATTTTTGAAAGCAATTGGTGGTACTGATTTAGATTTATTCACAGGAGTAGATGGAGATGTCAGGTACGATGGTATTACCCAGAAGGAAATGTTAAAAAATTTCAAAAACGACTTGGTATACGTTCCTGAATTGGATGTTCATTTTCCACATTTGACCGTTGAACAAACATTAAAGTTCGCCATTGCATGTAAGACTCCTGAATTAAGAGTTAACGATGTCAGCAGAGAAAAATTTATTGATGCTTTGAAGGAAATTTTGGCCACTGTTTTCGGCCTCAGGCATACTTACCATACAAAGGTTGGTAACGATTTTGTTAGAGGTGTCTCTGGTGGTGAGCGTAAAAGAGTGTCGATTGCAGAAGCATTGGCATGTCGTGGTTCAATTTACTGTTGGGATAATGCTACGAGAGGTTTGGATGCTTCTACTGCATTGGAATATGCCCAAGCAATTAGAACTTCCACAAACTTATTGAAGAATACGGCATTTGTTGCCATCTACCAAGCAAGTGAAAATATTTACGAAACATTTGATAAAGTTACGGTATTATATAAAGGAAAACAAGTTTATTTTGGTCCTGTGATGGAAGCTAAGAAGTATTTTGAGGATATGGGATACGCATGTCCACCAAGGCAATCTACCGCAGAATTTTTAACGGCTGTAACCGATCCTATTGGTCGATATACCAAGCCTGGAATGGAGAATAGAGTTCCTACTACAGCAGAGGAGTTTGAAGATTACTGGTTAAAATCTGAGCAATACAGATCCTTACAACAGGAAATTCAAGAGTACAATGATTCAATAGACGAGGACGAAACACGCAGAGGTTATTATCATTCTCTTCAACAAGAGAAAATGAAGTATCTGAGAAATAATTCCAAGTTCACTGTGAATTATTTTCAACAATTGAAGTTATGTACAACAAGGGGCTTTCAGAGACTTTGGGGAGATAAAGCCTATACAATTACTCAGCTTGTAGCTGCTATAAGTCAAGGTCTTATTGCTGGATCCCTTTATTATAATACTCCTGATTCAGTTAGTGGGGCCTTTTCAAGAGGTGGTGTTGTCTTTTTCGCAGCTTTATATGTTTCATTAATGGGCTTGGCCGAGGTTTCGGCCTCATTTAGTAATAGGAGTATATTAATGAAGCAAAAAAACTATTCTATGTATCATCCATCTGCTGATGCATTGGCTAGTGTTGTTACATCTATTCCAGTTACGTTGGTTGTTACGTTTTTGTTCGTGTTGATTATTTATTTCTTGTCTAATTTAGCTGCAGACGCAGGTAAATTTTTCACCTGTGTCTTGTTCGTTTTCCTACTTTCATTGACTATGGCTGGGTTATTCGAAGCAGTGGCTTCTTTGAACAAAACTATATCTGGTGCTAATGCAATAGCTGGTGTTTTGGTATTGGCTTCCCTTATGTATTCATCTTATATGATTCAAAGACCTTCAATGCATCCTTGGTTTAAATGGATTTCGTATATTAATCCTGTTTTATACGCATTTGAAGCAATTATTGCTACTGAATTTCATGGCCGTAAAATGGAATGTGATGGAATGTACTTGACACCAAGTGGACCAGGATATGAAAGCTTAGGTCGGGGTAATCAAGTTTGTGCTTTCAAAGGTTCTGTTCCTGGTCAAAGTTGGGTTTCTGGAGATAGATATTTAGATGTTGCGTTTACCTATAAGTTTTCTCATGTATGGAGGAATTTTGGAATTATGATAGGATTCTTAGTATTCTTCACTTGTGTGAAGGCTCTTGGTGTCGAGTTTATTAGGCCAATTAGTGGGGGTGGAGATAGATTAATGTTTTTGAGAGGAAAAGTTCCTGATTCTATCGTTTTACCGCAAGATAAAGGCCTGGAGTCTGGTGATCTCGAGACTAACTCGTCATCTTCAAATACGTTAGAGAAAACTAACAACGTCGTTTCGGAAGATAAGCTTAAAATCTTTAAAAATTTGAAGTCTAGAGATGTATTTGTTTGGAAGGATGTGACTTATGTTGTGAAATATGATGGCGCGGACCGTACTTTGTTAGATTCAATTTCAGGATATTGTATTCCAGGCACTTTGACAGCCCTAATGGGTGAATCTGGTGCTGGTAAGACTACTTTACTTAACACATTAGCTCAACGTATTGACGTTGGTGTTATAACTGGTGATATGTTGGTGAACGGTAAGCCATTAGATTTGTCATTTAGACGTCGTACCGGATATGTCCAACAACAAGATATACACGTAGAACTGTTAACTGTTAGAGAGTCCTTAATTTTTTCAGCAAGGTTGAGACGAATTAATGATTCAGACGATGCTGAAAAGTTGGACTATGTCGAAAAGATCATTAAAGCCTTAGATATGGAAGATTATGCAGATGCCTTGGTTGGTAAAACTGGTGATGGCCTTAATGTCGAGCAGAAGAAAAAATTATCAATTGGGGTTGAATTGGTAGCAAAGCCTTCGTTATTATTGTTCTTGGATGAACCAACGTCTGGTTTAGATTCCCAGTCTGCTTGGGCAGTTGTTAAATTATTGCGTGAGTTATCAAACGCTGGACAGTCTATTTTGTGTACTATTCATCAGCCTTCAGCTACATTATTTGAAGAATTTGATAGATTGTTACTTTTGAAAAAGGGTGGACAAACGGTTTATTTTGGTGATATTGGTGAGCATTCTAATGTTATACTTGATTATTTTGAAAGAAATGGGGCAAGAAAATGTGACGATCACGAAAATCCTGCTGAATACATTTTAGAAGCAATCGGAGCAGGTGCAACTGCTACCGTTACTCAAGATTGGTTTGAAACTTGGTCCAATTCATCAGAGAAGAGAGCGTCTGATATTGAACGGGACAGGCTAATTGAAGAGTTATCCGCGCAAGTACAAGATGATCATGATCCGAAGGAATTGAAGCAATTGAGATCAACTTATGCAGTCCCGTATTGGTATCAATTTAGCATTGTTGTTCGTAGAAATGCATTAACATTCTGGAGAAACCCGGAATACATCATGTCAAAACTTATGCTTATGACCATGGCAGGTTTATTCATCGGGTTTACGTTCTTCGGTTTAAAGCATTCTGTTACTGGTATGCAAAATGGTATGTTCGCAGGATTCTTAGCTGTTGTTGTATCTGCACCTGTTATTAATCAAATCCAAGAACATGCCATCAAGGGTCGTGATTTGTTTGAAGGAAGAGAAAAGTTATCAAATACGTATCATTGGTCATTAATGATAATTGCTCAGTGTATTAATGAATTGCCTTATTTGATATTCGGATCTACAATTATGTTCGTTTCATTGTATTTCCCAACACAAGCTGATACATCTGCTCCGCATTCAGGAATCTTTTATTTGACCCAAGGTATATTTTTACAAGGTTTTGTTGTAACCTTTGGTTTATTGATTCTCTACATTGCTCCAGATTTGGAATCAGCTGCAGTTTTAACATCCTTCTTCTACACGTTTGTGGTTGCCTTTAGTGGTGTTGTTCAACCGGTAAATTTGATGCCTGGATTCTGGACTTTTATGAATAAGGTAAGTCCATATACTTACTTCATTCAAAATTTGATAACTTCGTTTTTACATGGAAGAAAGGTTCATTGCAGCAACGTTGAGCTTGCTTTTTTAATCCTCCTTCCGGGCAGACATGTCAGCAATTTGCTGGTGACTTTGTCAAAGCCAGAGGAGGTTATTTATCTAACCCACAGGCCACGAATGAATGTGGATACTGCACGTATAGGGTTGCCGATGAGTATTTGAGTTCCATTGGGGCAGAATTTTCTAACAGATGGAGAAATGTGGGTTTCTATTGTGTGTACGTTGTGTTCAACCTTTGTTTTGTTTTAGTCTTATATTGGTTGTTCAGATTTAGAAAGGGGTCTATCTTTTCAATATTTAAGAGAAACAGTTAATTTATTCTTAGTGCTTTAAATTTTATAATCTTGTATATAATGATATATGTTTAAATCAATAGTATTTATACGATCTACGAGCTTTTAAAATACTTGTATCCATTTATTTAGAAGGCTATTTAAAGCTAAAGAAATTCCAGAAGAAAAATATGTGTATACACGTATGTATATATGATAGAAATAAAGGAGTTGTTTCATAAAACGTCATTAAAAATAGTTAAACTTCATTAAACTAATTGTAATAAAATGTTTCAAATTCAACTTCAATTCACAAATAATAGCAACAATAAAAATTTAGGAAAAAAAAAAGATGTTTAGATTATTGTGGTTTAATCAACTCAAAAGAGCAGCATAAAGATTTATCGACACTCATGATAGCTCCATAATTATCAAATTCACCACAATAGTTAGGAGCCAGGAAAACTGTGACCAATTTTCTTTTGTCAAAAAATTCATACCCATCTTCAACAACCATATGTCCTCTAACAATCAAGTCCATTTTAAATTTCAAACAGAAGTAATCAACATGTTTTTTACCAAAACAGTAAGAGACACCACGATCATTTTTGGGCCAATTGGTAGGAGAAAAGTTCTTAATCAGAGGATCCGGGTCTGACCACAATAAATCAGCCAATAGACCGTTATCAGGGATATCAGTTGGCCTTTTGATATTTTCAATTTGCTTCAAATCGGTTAAGTCTGGCGATAGACCACCATGAATACAAAATATTTTATCGTTAATAGTTGCCGCTATTGGTAAAGCATTGAACACATCAACGAAAGTTTTCCATAACTTATGATTACCTGAAATACTTGGTAACCTTCTCTTGCATTCATCATAAAATCCATAAATTTTTGTAATGTTTGCAGACTCGTGGTTACCTCTCAACATGAAAAAGTTTTCAGGGTATTTTATTTTGTAACATAATAGAAGCAAAATGGTTTCTAAAGATTTATATCCACGATCAACATAATCACCTAAGAATAAATAATTAGTATAAGGTGGGTAACCACAGCTATTAAAAATTCTAATCAAGTCATGGAATTGTCCATGAATATCACCAACGATTTTTACAGGTGGCGATAATCTTAAAAGCGTTGGTTGATCTAAGAAGATTGAACGAGACTTATTCAAAACGTACTTAATTTCCTGAGAAGTCAATGGTAATTTGTCCTTATTCTTACGTGACGAGTTTGCCGAAGAATTATTTGGCCTCTTTAAGCCAATTTCTAATAATCTGTCGATAATCTCGTCAACATTGACTTGGGATTTCTTGACGCTTGGATTTTCTTGAGGAGATGAGGACGGAGAATTAGAGCTAGTCAGGCTAATCTGTTTATCTAAATGCTTTTTAGGCACATCGATACTCTTCTCGGGGATTTTCCGGGGCTCGGGGGTTGACTCCAATGATATTTCCATTATCGTATCCAAGTCTAAGTCACCCTTGCCAACACCAAAATTATCATTTGGTCCCGAAGAGCCTAAAGACAGTAACAGATCTTCATCCTTGTATTCACCCAACGTAGTGAATACAGGAGATACCGTAGAAACCTCAGATCTCTCGCTATCAAAGGATGAACTATATTCTTGTTGGGAAGGCAATGTCAACTTGTTACTACCTGGCACCGTTGGCGAGCTACTGCTCAACAACTTCGCCATAGATGCACCTATTTCCAAGTCTAGACCCAAATCACGATTCCCACTTGACCTGCTAGTCTTCCTAGGTGATATCGATGTACTGCTTTTCTTATAATCATCCGGTACGGTGTTGCTATTAATATTATAATAATTGGAATTGAATTTGTTGTCATTTTTATTAACAATTTTTATGGCGGAAGCTTTGGAACTTCCATTTAATTTATTACTAGATAGACCCGATAGCGGGGGTACGGATTCATCTGATTCTAACTCCCCGTTGGAGCTAGATGTCGAGTGATTTAATGATTGATTAGCAGATGAACTAGTCGGCAGAGGATCATTTTTAGACGGGCTATTTCCCATGTTCTATAACAAAATGTCAGTAATCAATAAAATAAGACTGGGATTTATCACGTAAATAATCTAGAAAATCTAATTATTAATGAAGTTCTTTTGGTACTAATAGTTTTGTTGATGACAATAGAAGCAATTTTTGATATTAGTAAGTCAGCTTACCTGCACACGACTAAATTTCATCATCGTCGATTACTAGAGTAAGTAGTAAAAGGAGAAAAATGAGAATATTGTGTAATATCTCGGAGAAAAATCGGAAAAGCTAACAGATGCCTGTGATTTAACTCTATTCTACTTGTCTATGACATGGATTTATACACTAATTGTCTTATATATTGTCAATTAATAACTACTTACATTGGTTGATTTATAATTTTTCAGCAAATAACTTTTTAAGTTCGTCAATTGCTTCGTCAATACCTTGAGGCTTGTCACCCATACCTTGAACAACGTTACCTTTACCACCGGCTTTTCCACCTACCTTAGAGGAAACCGCAGTTGCTAAATCAGTAGCGTTGACACCCTTAGCAATAGCTTCGTCAGATACGTAACAACCGTGTGCGACCTTGTCAGAACCGGTAATCAAGTAGAGAGACTTGGATTTGTGTTGTTTTTTCAACAAATTGATAGCTTCAGTGATAGCCTTAGCGTTGGCACTGATTGGCACGAAGCTGACGAAGTAGTCCTTAGCATCTTTTGCGTTCAACCACTCGTTAACAACTTCTAAGACTTTCTTTGATTCTTCTTTTTGTACGGCCTTTAATTGGTCTTTGATAGACTTATCTAATTTGTTAAACTTGTCGTTCAAGTTACGCTTGTCCAAAACGGAAATGGATAATTTTTTCAAACTGACACCCAATTCTTTAGCCTTTGTTTCCTTGATTGGACCAAAAGCTAAGGCCATAGCATGCTCTAATTCCTTGTCGAAATCCTGGGCAATTTTTTGGACTTGGTGAGCTTCTGTGCCTGTTACAGCAACGATTCTTCTGATACCCTTAGCAATACCAGATTCTTCAATTATGACTAAATCTTTAATCTCACCGGTTTTAGCAACATGTGTACCTCCACATAATTCAATCGAGACCTTATGCCATTCTGGGTTTTTAGGTTCCTTCAACAAGTCTTCGATAGAGGTACCAATGGAGACAACCCTGACTGGATCTGGATAAGTTTCACCGAAAACCGCTCTCAAACCGTTAATTTCTTTGGCATCACCCAATTTGATATCCTTAGCATAAACTTGCTTGTTTTCTTTAATATAATCATTAGACATAGTTTCAACCTTTAATAATTCTTCAGGAGTTAAACCTTGCTTATGACTGAAATCAAATCTTAACTTTTCTGGGGCAACCAAAGAACCTTTTTGGTCAACGTTATCACCCAAGACTTCTCTTAAAGCAAAGTTTAATACGTGGGTACCAGTGTGGTTATTTCTGATTGGCCATCTACGTAATTCATCATAGGTAGCAATGATTTCATCTTCCAACTTTAATGATCCTTCAAGTAATGAACCAGTATGCAAAACATAACCACCATAAACTTGGACATTAGAAACACTGAATTCAGCGGCACCATCAATGACTAACTTACCAGTATCGTATTCTTGACCACCCAGTTCTGCGTAGAATGGGGTTTTGTCTAATAATATACCGGCTTGAGAGCCAACTTCAGAAATGGAGTTAACAAAAGATGAGCCATCATAAATAGCAACGACGTTAGCTTTAATATTTTCTAATCCGTATTTGAAAGAATCATCGGTCTTCGGAACCTTGTCATTACCATCTAATTCTGACAATGCATGAACGTCCAATTTAATTAACGAAACGCCACCCTTATTACCTGTGGCCTTGGAAGCTTCTCTTGATTCTTCTTTTGCCTTTTCAAATCCTTCTTCATCTATTTTCAAGCCAGCTTCTTCTGCCATTAATCTGGTTAAATCAACTGGGAATCCATAAGTGTCATATAATCTCCAGACGTCTTTACCGGATAAGGTTTGTTCTGGTGTTTTTGAAGCAATAATAGCATATTGTTCGAATAATTTTTCACCTCTGTCCAAAGTCTTAGCAAAGGATAATTCTTCTTCATTCAAAATTTCAGTTAAATCTTGCTGGTTTTTCACAATTTCAGGGAAGATTTCAGAATTCTGTTCTATGACAACTGGAACTAACTGTTGAAAGAATGATCCAATAGGGTAATTCATATATTTACGAACATAACGTGCACCTCTTCTCAAAATTCTTCTCAAAACGTAACCTCTACCTTCATTGTTTGGAACACCACCATCAGTAATAGAAAACGTTAATGTTCTAACGTGATCAGCGATAACTCTATAAGCAGTATCAATACCATCTCTATCTTCGGCACCAAATTTACCAGTGTAAGGTCTAACACCGGTAATTTCCCTAATTTTGTTGAAGATTGGTTGGAAAACATCAGTGTCATAGTTAGATGACTTGTTTTGTAATATTGACACTAATCTTTCAAATCCTAAACCAGTATCAATATGTTTAGCAGGTAATGGTCTCAAAGACGCATCCAGTTCTCTGTTGTATTGCATAAAGACAATATTCCAAACTTCTAAAACATTTGGATCATCCATATTCACTAAACTAGAAGCGTTTCTTCCACCAATTCTATCATAATGAATTTCGGAACATGGACCACAAGGACCTTGGTCACCCATTTCCCAGAAATTATCATGAACATCACCTGGTAAGATGTGATCTTCAGCGACACCAACAGATAACCAAAAGTTTTTAGCTTCTAAATCAGGCTGTAATCCTTGCTTTTCATCACCTCCAAAGTACGTCACGTATAATCTATCTTTATCCAAGTTATACACTTCAGTCAACAATTCCCAAGACCATGAGATAGCCTCTTTCTTGAAATAATCACCAAACGACCAGTTACCCAACATTTCAAAAAATGTATGGTGGTATGAATCTCTACCAACATCCTCTAAATCGTTATGTTTACCTCCAGCTCTGATACACTTTTGCGAGTTGACAGCCCTCTTCAAGGAAGCAAAATCCGAAGCTGGATCGACGGTACCCAAGAAAATCGGCTTGTATTGATTCATACCAGCATTAGCAAATAATAACGTTGGATCATTGTGAGGAACAACTGAAGATGATGGAACAAATGTATGGTTTTGTTTAACTTTAAAATAATCTAAAAAAGTACTTCTGACCCTCGATGCCGGCCAATTATTACTTGATGTAGACATGATTCTTTTATGGACTAATGTCTTTAGCATAAACTTTACCGCTTGAGCTAAATTACTCTCTGACGAACACTATATAAAAAAATTGATAGTTTTTTTAAAGGTCGTGCGAATGTTAATTTATCTATTTAGTACATTTACGAGATTAGGCTAGAAGAGAACTAGTGTATTAGAGTTGATTCTACTTACGTTCTTCTGCAAAAAGAAATTGGTACATTCGTTATATATAGGCTTATAATATTTTCATTTGTTCTTTGACTTTTCAAATATTCTTGGACATTTGATAACGGCTTAAAAGGACACACGGCCACTGAAATGTTGCAAGTATTTCAGTGCTAAATATATCATGCAGATAATCAGAGTATATTGTTTCCTGCTTCATAGACCTGGAACACGACGGAATAGAGAGAGAGATTCCTGGGTGTTTGAATGTAGTAGACTCATAATTAGATCTTGGGTAATTTTGCAGCTATTCGTTCAATTATCAAGTACGAATATATGAGCTCAGTTTCTGCTTTGTAAAGTAATGAACAAGAAAATATATCTTATATTATTACTAGAATACATTTCTTAGTGACTATTAAATGAAAAGAAAATAATATGATAATGCATGGCTATTTTTTAAAAAAAGCAGTTTTTGTAAATATTTGCAATAACTGAACATAAATTGCAGAAACATGCAAAAAGGTACTAATTTTTTTATGAATTGACGAGTTGTGTCATATGCTTGTAGAAAAAACAAATATATCTTAGTGAAGTAAATATGTCACTTCTGTAGCGTATATTAGTTCGCAGGAAGGTTTTAGAAGATACAATGTTCCTAAGGTATACCACAACACAAAGAGGCCAGGAGTTTTGAAATGCATGGATCCCATGATTAAGCTTGAAAACTATGCTACTCGCTTATAATCAACCTTCCTGTACTTATAAGTCGAAATAAATGCAAGTAATAAATTGAAGTAGACATAATCTGATTAGGAAAAAAATTGCTCAATAAAAAATACAAAACACAAAATTTGTTACAAAGAGACTCTATAATCTATACTTTTAATACAACAATGATATTGATAGACGATGCCAAATACTCGTGTATGGAGTGTATACGAGGGCACAGATCAAGTCTGTGTAGGCATCATACAAGACCGTTGCTTCAAGTTAGATCTAAGGGCAGACCCAATGTTCATGCTAATGGTAACCCAAATCATAGAATAGCAGTTTTCGCAGAAGAAATTGATAAAAATAATAGCAATAGTACAGGAAATAACAAAGGAAATTGTGAAAATAAGAAGACTCCAGTAGTAATATTAAAAGCATCTCCAAAACAAGTCATTGACTTAAATAATGGTCGAATTATAGGCCCATACCAGGAAGATATCACAATAGATGAAAGTAGTAAGCCACCATTACCGATAATTAATAGCAATAGTTTCATTAACACAACGTCATGCTGCTTGAATGGGATAAGTAAGCCAAAAAAATCATGCGGATGTTGTTCAAATAAGACGAATAAAAATATCAATAAACTGAAAATATTGAAGACATACCTCAAAAAGCACATGAAGCCCGAAAATGAATGTAAATTTGTTGAATACTCCAATCTGATACAAATAAAGAAAGAGAATGACGACGAAGACCAAAATAGAGGTAGTAAACATTCGATAGTAATAGATAATGATAATGATAAAGATAACGGCAAAATCAAGCCCGCTAACGATAGCTTATTGTATGACGTGGTTAAAATACCTTCTTGTTCAATACCAGGGTCTTGTGGATGTGATAGTAATTGTGCTTGTGAAGGATGTTTTGTACATGGTAATGTCAATGTGAATGAATTAAACAACAACCAATTCAGTAACTTAATTAATTATGCAAACAACAACGAAATAAGGATGCCTCAGGATATAATGAGTAATTATGCTAATAAGTTGAGCGACATGACTCGTGGGCAAATGTATAATGGCATATCTAAGGGAATTACAAATTCAGGTGCTGATATGAATAACGTCTTTGCTAATAACATTTTGGAAACTAATAATAGTACGATATATGCTAACTCACACTCGCATCTAGGTAATTTTGAAAATGAAGACCTGCTTACTTCCAGCACAAATAGCACATCGACCAACCTAACACAATCTAACGATATGAGCATGTTAAACGGCCAAATGTATAACTTACAAACGGATATAAGCCAGCAACATCCAAATCAAAATCATTCGCAGAGATTAATGCAAGCACCATTACAGGGATACGGACAGGAACAAGCACCAGGTGGGCCTCAAATAGAGAAAGATATAGAATCTAAGACTTGTTCTTGTTCGAACGATTGTGATTGTTTTAATTGCGAGACCCATGGAATTATCAATGGAATGAAGCTAGATGATATATTTAATCATATGGTGCCGGCAGATTATAAAGATCTAATAAATTCCATAGGAGTTGATAGAGACGGTGCTAACACTAGTAATATTCTGATAGTGGCACCAATGATTAATTCGTCAAGTGAAAATGTGTCTAGCAATTCTTCAGAGAACTTGGATGCTGATTTAACCAACCGGAAAGCTTCCAGTTGTTGTGGAAGGTAGGATATATACTTCTCGTTTTGTAAATAGTTATTTATGAATAATATTTAAGATTTAATGCATTTAGATCTTTAGACTCAGGCATCAAGTCATACAATATAAGTAGTATTCGATCAAGTAAGCCCATTTATATACTAGATCTTAATTTATCGGTTTTCACACTACACTATATATAAAAATTAAAATATCACTTCATTGAGTTACCAGGTTTCAGAAGGCTTTAAACTAGATCCACATAATACTTCAGAGGATTGAAAGTTGCTATCAAAAGATAAATTAATAGGGATAATATATATTGAAGATTATGGTGAGAATGTCGAGCTATGATGATGATCCTATAATAGAAATTTTTGATAATGATAATAGCGATGACATTCAGGTTATAAATAGAGATAACAGTCAGTATGACCAGAACTTGATGAATGCTAACGGGAATACACCGCATAACTACTATAATGATATATATGATAATTCCCAACAAGAGAATACACACCAGAATCGACAACAACAGGTACAAGAACAACACTCATCACTTTCTTCAATACTTCAACCAGAAGCTCACACAAATCATCAGGAGCCAAGTGGTTTGACACCGATATTGACTTCGAATGATTATAATCAGTTGACAACTGTTAGTCAACCAAAATTTATGACTTCATTGCCGCCATTGGCGCCACTATCGGAATCTGTTATACCGAATAATTTAAATATCCCACCGACGTTGTCATTACCAAAGATGAACGATAACCAAGATAAAAAGACAAGTGTTGTGGCTACAAATACGAAAAAACGAAAAGAGGCTCCGAGCTCCAAGACGAGACCCGCATTTGTAATGAAGATATGGTCCATGGTGAATGATCCTGCAAATCATGATTATATTAGATGGAATGACAGTGGGAAGACATTTCAGGTATTTCACCGAGAAGAATTTATGAAACTCATCTTACCGAAATATTTCAAGCACAATAATTTTGCCAGTTTTGTTAGACAATTGAATATGTATGGCTGGCATAAAGTGCAAGATATCAGCAATGGGACTCTTAATAAAGATGACAAGTCAAACGATGAAATATGGCAGTTTGAGAATCCTTATTTCATAAGAGGCAGGGAAGACTTATTAGATAAAATTGTAAGAAATAAAACCATTAGTCAGGATTCGGATAATATAGAGGCAGGAAATCTCAATTTTCAATCTATCTTAAACGAATTGGATCAAATTAAAGTCAATCAATATGCTATAACTGAGGACTTGAGAAGGGTAAGAAATGATAATAAAACCTTATGGCAAGAGAATTTTATGACTAGAGAGAGACACCAACAACAGGCTCAAACATTAGAGAAGATTTTGAAATTTTTAGCTGCAGTTTATGGTAACTCAGCTGGAAAATTATTAGAAGTTGATAATGGTTCAATTGGGCTTGACGATTTTAATCCGAATAACCAAATGACTACTTATAACTACCAACCCCAACAAGCGCATAACCAAGCTCCACAACAGCCTATACAGACACCGACAACAACAACAACAGGTCAGCCTTCACAACCTCCAAGTCCATTCAATAGACCTCGTTTGATGTTGATGGATCAAGCATATCAAAAGTCCCCATCTAATAATCCTTCTCCTAAAGATACAACACAAAGGAATAGTAATAGTGGTTCAATCGAGGAGATTATAAGGTCATACGAAAACACACCTAATGATTCTCCTAATAGTAATGTAAATAAAATATACCAGCAGTTAATGAATAATGATCCTGGTATTTCTTCCCCAAGACATTATTTCCCAGAGTTGAATAATCCAAATAGTTCTTATTTTGGAATGCCTAATACTCCTGGTCAGCAATACATTAAGTCTGGCACACCATTAGACTCATCAAATAACACATCTGAAGTTATGAATGGATTGGAACAGAATATTTATAAGCAGGGCCAGTCGATTCAGCAAGTTCAGGATTGGATTCAAAAACTAGCAGCCCAGCAGCAACAACAACAGCAGCAACAACAGCAATTGCAGCAATTACAAAATTTAAATCAAAACAGTAAACAAATTTCAGATGATTATGAAAAGCCAGATATAGATGAGTTTGATGTCAACGAATTCTTAGATAACTCAAATGCTTCAAATTCACAGACCAGTAACTCAGTAAACTCTGATCCGAACGACGCTTCTTCGAACAAAAGATCGATTGATGAAGCTAATGATAGTAATGCCAAGAGGAAAAAACAATAATCTCTTTCAATTCAACAACTATATTCAGAACGCAAAGATTAATATTATTCGTGCACATGAAACGTATTTAATTAAATAGTTGACTAATATATTACGTGACTTCTTGTAAATGTAAAAGCGAAGGACAGCATTTAATATATATATCTGCACGATTTTCTTTTCGTGACAGTAGTATCGTGTGGACCAAGAAGCGCAAACCAGAAATTGTCGCATACCCATAATGCGACCTTCGAAGCGCATTTGAAGTTGACATATGTATTGGGAATAGGTTGCAAAATGTGTTTATTTTTATTTTATTTATGTCATTAAAAAAGTTTGTACCCACTACTCGTAATTAAGTTAACGACCTGGTTTATTAAAGATTTTAATTATTAAATATCTTGCTTAATTTAGCATCTAGATCGTTTTCGTTGGTATAGAAAAAAAAATATAAATAAGAATAAAAATCCAACAGAAACCTTACTAATTCTTTAATACTAAACCTAGCGTAGGCTTAATATAGTACTTCAAGGACGAATCTATCCGTTTATTTTTCATTCCATTTTATAGTCACTATGAAAGGTCGTAGATAAAATCCGGTATTCACACTACACATTTATTTGAAATAATACTCCATTCGTAAACCATTAACAGATATAATGATATACTGGCGCAACTTCACTGGTATATACTATTTGTTATGTATGTTATTGGAACAAAATGTCAACAGGTATTTTAAAGTTTGATGATGAAAAAAGGAAGAAAAAGAGGGACTATAGTAAAAATGGTTGCAGGGAATGTAAACGACGGAAGATCAAGTGTGATGAAGCAAAACCAGAATGCTGGCAATGCAAAAGACTAAAAAAGTTCTGCTCATATCCAGAAGTTGGAGAAAGGGTAGCAAGGGTATCAAGGAAACGAATGCGCAATTATGATTCTTACAGAGAGTCTGAGGGATTAAATTCTCCTAATTTATACGGCCCTGGCACAGCTATAGACCCACGTATGAAAAATACTATAGGAAATGGCCAAGCACAGAATTCCACATATACTCAACCACAGTCCAATACCCGAGAAATATATCCACCTCGATTAGCTCCACCATCCATAATAAATTTACTTAATGATACCCAGAATATTGATCGAAGTAGCGTTAATGGCACAAGCAGAACTACTGCGACACCAGAAGATGGGTCACAATCTCTGCCGTTTACTATTTTAAATGATTCTAATAAATTTCGGAACTTATCTGATCAACGTGCAGAATCTGAATACAGTACTACACCTGGGCACCCAATCGAAAATGGTGACATGATATTATTAAGTTCTGATGGATTATATGAATCTAACCCGAAAGACCTTAATTTATTAGCCACTGACCTAAATGATATCGTTAGCAGCTTTATGTTCGAAGCTAACTTTGATACAAAATTACATGAAGATGATTTTCAGTCATTAGACAATCTATTTGATGAGCATATAGCTAAATATAAGGACGTATCTGATGGAGAATTGAACGTGCATGCTAATGCTAATGAAGATATTGATGGGCCTATTCCTAGACATATTCCGGTAGATTTTATTAAAGTTAAAACGAAAAGAGAAGAGAAATATCTTCGAGGGTTTTATGATATTTTTGCGGAAATAATGGTTCCTTTCAATTCTTACGACGAGAAAGTAAAAGCATCATTCAATCCATTACGAGATACTTTACTCAAATGTGCATCAGAAGAACCATTTCTTTTAGCAGGTTTATTAGCGCTGGGAGCTAAAGCGTGTTTTGAGAAGTCCAATTTACCAGAAGACGAAGAGGCATTTTTTAAGTATCTTTCAAATTGTTTGAAAATGTTAGAACCATCTTTGCTAGGGAAAGAAGATAAAGATAAGAAAACATGGGCATCAAACATAGATTCTGTCCTAGTAACTGTTTTATTGTTAACAGGAATTAATGCATTGAGTTCCAAACAAGAATGGAGACCGCACTTAAGGGGCGCAAAAGACATTCTATTAAGATATTCATCAAATAGTCTTGAGTATCCCAGACTAAGGCATTCAAAATTAATGATCTTCTGTAAATTTATCTTTGCATCCTATGAAACTTTAGCAGGGTTAAGTTCTAAATTTGGAGGGACCCTTAAGGAATCGGAAATAGATCTATTAATTTCTGCTGGTGATCCAGATGAGTTAAAGGCTTTGAGGGATCTAGGAATTGTAAGAGATGATGGGTTCAATCTATTATGTGGTTATCATAATTCCTGTATTACTCATTTGAGGGATTTAATAAAAATATTAAATAAGACTAGATCCAAAGGTAATAGTTTTGAGCCTAAAGACACACTTGAGTATATTAGACTAATATCTGAATTTCATGCACAGACAAAGATTGAGTTCGTCACCAAAAAATACTTTCTAAAACCGTCGGATTTTAAGGATGGGATTATTCCAGATAATTTACTTCTCGAAGTAGCTGTGATTAACAATGAACAAATTATTATTAGTTGGATGGATATTTGCCACCAGGTATATGCACTAGCTTCACTCATAACAATTATCACGTATTGTTTTCAATTGTCATATAAATCTGCTCAAGTGCAATCCTTGATAAGTAAGTTAATGGAGCCGATGACTTTTTTGGAGTCTTATCAGGATAATTCAAATGCAAGAAAAGTATGTGTGATGATGCTTCAATGGCCGATATATATAGCAGGAATCAATTGCATATCTGAAAACCATAAACTGTTAATAACGAAGTGTTTTGAAATTTCGGCACAAGCTGGTTCAAGTAGTGCAATTCTCACACTCAATAAAATCAAGAAAATTTGGGACATTCATGCGAGTAATAAAGAATGGAATACAGACGATGATGATATGGATATAGTTACTTATTAATATTTATTATACTTCTATAGAATAATTCAAACTTCCTGTAATAAAGAAAACCAACTTAATTCTCCACATGCTAATTTGAGTTGCGTTTCAAACGACGTTAACTCGTTTTCAGATTCTCTATCAGAATTAGTAGATACAGTATCAAGTTTATCATCCAAATTATCATCCGAGCAACCTACTGATTCTGAACATGAGCAAAATTTACATTCTTTGCTGTTCCAATCAAATTTACCTTGTGACTTAAGTTCTTGTATGTACCAACCAATTCTTTCTGCTCCCAATCTTGCACCGTCTAAGTTGGCAGAAGAGGGACCCATTCTTAGGGATGCATTTTTCCCAATCACAAATAGTGGGATTTCATCATTCCATTGTAGGTTATCTGTAAGGCAAGGAAGTCCTTTAATTGTTGGGATATCATACTTATTTATAATTGGTTGGAGGCATGGTAACGATTTTATATTTGGAGATATTCCTGTTGCATAATAAATATAATCAACATTTGAAAGATTCGTTACACTGCTTAGTTCTGATTCATCTGCTGCATTCTTTGTTTCTGATTTGGTTTTGATGGAAAGATCCCACATTTCAGAATTCACATTCCATTCTTTATTTTCAATAGAGCTATGCTTGAACAATTCTAGCTTTCCGCTTTTCATATGAACTTTAAGTTTCTTGTAATATTCAGGATTTATTGAGCCACCTTCCCTAGCTTCTTGAATCATATCATATCTTTCTTCGTCTGTATCTTTAACATAGAAAGCAGACTTTTTGACATTTTTATATTTTGTAACCCAATCGAGATGGAAATCAAAATGTTTTATCTTTAGTGGTCCTCTAAGTACTAAATATACTTTTTCAACTCCAGAGCATATTGCAACATGTGCTAATTGAGCGGACGTGAGACCACCTCCAACAATTACCACAGAAGCCATCTTACGCTGAGATACTTTTTCCATAATCCTTTCATGGGGAAATTTCACCGATCCTGAGAATATATGTGTAGTGTGACAGCTACCTTGAGGAAATTGTGATTTAGCTTCAAATGGAGGTAAAGGGTAATTGATTTCACCTACATGTCCACTCGCGAGAACGCATATTTTGCACCCAAACACTTTTGAAGAAGTTTTAATAATAAAACCCATTCCAGCCTCATCCTCGTCAACGATATTGATAAAGCAATATTCTATCGATTTAACTTCATCTTTCCTAACGACGTCGTTAAGTTGATATCTCTTTATTATATCCTCACAAAAATCTTTGAAAAGAGGAGTGGAAGGTCTGTAATAGTCTTTCCAATCTCTCATGTTGATATCAATTAAACCAGGCTTGTCTGAAGATTGATTAAGTTCTTGAATTGGTACTGGATCTTTTAAACTTTTTTTCTTTGAGTTTTTCTTTAAGAGCTTTTTAAGTTGATGCTTAGAGTATTCTCTACCCACTACGTTTTCAATTTTCATTAAATCTTTCGTACCATCTCTTTTAGCAAAATGAGAATAAGTAACTAGACCGTCAATATTTACTGGATCTGGGTGGAAAAACATTGGTGATCTTAAGTAAGGTATCTGGCAACTAGCAAATTGTTTGTCCCATTGACCTAGAAATTTATCAGATACACTATCAAGCACAAGAATCTCCAGAGGAAGAAACTTTTTGGGCAGCAAATATGCATTGCTCTTACGTGCTGGCTTGAATTTTGTCTTTGAAGACATGTTATGGTTGATTAAGTTAACCTTATTACCTCTCTGTTTCAACCAGCGGAATCTTTGGTGCTCGTCTTCTGTGTAAATTGATCCAGGATAATCCTCACACAATCTAGCAGAAACTGCCAAAGAACAAGTACCACCTCCTACCACTATAGCCTCAAAAAAATCCTCCTTATATATATCGTATGATTTCAATTCACTCATATTTTGAACTACTAATTTGAGAGTATGGGGCATATATTATATTTCGCAGTCTATTTATAAGAGATATTATAACCTGCGCGGTGCGATCAGTATAACTACAAAGGTCAATTTATTAGATTGCATTATAATAACTAACTAGATAAGGCTTCAACATAACCTTCAATGAGAGCTAACAATCCAACAGCACCAGGGTCTGGAATTTCACCGTCTTTAAATTCTTCATCACTGACATAACTTGCTCTACCAAATTTAGCTTGTAAATCTTTGGTAGATTCACAACCCTTTCTAGCGGCTTTTACTGCTTCTCTAACATCACTAGACTTAGACAATGAATCAACAAATGGTTGTAAAGTATCAACAAGTGTTCTTCCCCCGACACGAGCTTTGGTGTATTTAAATAATCCATCATACAAAGCACCGTGAAATGCTTTACCCAAAGCTTCAGTTGTAATTTCTTGTGCATCCTGAATATTCTTCACTAAAGCAGTCAAGAAAATAGAATATATACCACCAGATGTACCCCCCATATTGTCTTCAACTATTTCAGTAATAGTAGATAAAGTAGAAGCCGGATCACTCAAGTTATCTTTGAAAGATTGGTCATTCTTCAAAGCATCTAAGATAGCATTTGCACCTTTAGCTAAAGTTTCACCACAATCACCATCCCCCACAAGGGTATCATAATGTGTGATATCAGGTTCAGCTTTTAATAATTTTTGTAAAGCTGCCGTCAACGCCTTTTGAAATAATTTGGAGTCCATCTTTAAGGAGGAAGAGACCTTTTGGGCATGGGCCATTGGCGATTCAATATATTTACTTTCATTGGACCATTGGTTTGCATCAAACAGTTTTGGTTTCCATCCCGGAGCATCGGTTGGGAGGTCCAAATATTCCAATACCTTTGATTCAGAATATTTGGACTTGGACTTAGCGATATTCGATAAATTCAATAAGGTGATAGAAAAACCAGGCGAATTCAACGATGTAACGAAGTCGCTAATCAAAACACGCTTTGGTCTTTTGGATAATGGCAAGTTCAGAACTACATGCTCAGCAATCGCATATAACTCAAGAGATGAAGTGCCTCCAATATTATTGATTACTAAAACAAATTCATCGTTCTTCAAATCAAAATCAACATAATGACGATCTTCATCTTCTGGTGACAATAACTTGTAAAACATATCTTTGACTAAGTCATCGATGTTTGGAATAGGGCTCATTTTATGCCCAGGTTCATTATGAATACCCAAGCCTAATTCAGCTTCATCAGAACCTGTAAATTCTATTTCTTCACTGGCCTTTCCAGGAACCGATGTACGGTCCAAAGAAGCACCAATGGTTACCATATTATCGTTCACAAGATGCCCAAGTTCGACAATTGACTTCAAGTCAGCATTGTCTGAAGATGCTGCCCCCAAAATCTTATGAATCAATGCTGTTCCGGCCAAGCCTCTTCTTCCTACCATCTCATTTTGTTTTCTACCTACCGCAACATCGTCACTCACGGCTAAGATATCGATGTTATACCCTTCACTTTTGGCCCTCTCTACAACTAATCCAAAATGCAACACGTCTCCTGTATAATTCTTCACTATGATCAAGGTTCCTTTATCCTTGTTGGATTTGGTCTTCACTGCTGCCATGATTTGCTTTGTCGATGGTGATGCAAAAATGGCACCACTGACTGCGGCATCGAGCAATTTATCACCCACAAAACCCCCGTGTAATGGTTCATGCCCAGCACCCCCTCCACTTATCAATGTAACCTTTTTGGATGTATCAGAATTAAGGTTGTAGATCACTTTTTCTGATGGAATCAATCCAACTGCTGGATTAGAGTGGCATAATCCCTTAAGATTAGACAAAACAATGTCCTCATCCTTATTATACTTCCAGTGCTTTGCTAAAGTCATTTTAATATTCAATTGGTTTCTAAGATTGTTTTATATACGAAAATACAACTTATTTCTCTTAATATCAAAGGAACAAGATAACCATTCCTTCGGATTACACTGCTATAATAGCAAACGAAAAGTCGAAAATTCAAATTACATAATAATGGTCAAAAACTTACATAATCAAGGGCATTTTTATTTCTCGGGGAAAGTTTCCATTTTCAAAACCACATCTTCATCTCCCAAGAGGTTCATTAAGATCTTGCCAAAGGTATTTTACAAACGACTAGGACAAAGATCCAAAGAAGATCTTGATTGTATATAGAGTATAGGAGTTTGGAGACTGAAAAAATCCAAAAAAAACCGAGTAAATATACTGGGTAAAGGACTAAAACGTGTTGATTGAGGTACATAATAGTGATTTAAATCTGTATTTTTAAATGGTAAGCATAGTGGCCAGCGAAAGCGATAATACGAAGGGAGAAGAGAATATAGAGAAGAAAGGCTCAGGTGATATGGAGCAAGAGGGAATGAATGGAAAAAGTAAGGTTAGTGGAATAGAATACCCAAGCAAACAGAAGCGGTCGAAGACATTTACTGGATGCTTTACATGTCGGTCGAGAAAGATCAGATGTGACCTAACGAAGCCACATTGTCGAAATTGTTCGAAAACAGGCCTTACTTGTGCTGGATATGATATAAAATTGCGATGGTCACAGCCATTGCAGTTCTCTAATAAGACCGGGAACTCGATATCATCACTGGTAGTGTTTAACAGGAAGAAGGAAGGAGACGATGAGAGTGCCAATCCCGAGTTTTTCCAAAGACGTTCGGTTGGGTTTGTCAAATGGGATAAACCGTACGAAACGTATGATGAGATGGACAGGGTTTTGGGGATCTTGCATAATTCAGGTAATGATAATATGGTGAATGCGGAAAATAAAACCAAATTGCTAGGTCCATTTGGTGTATTCAAAAGCTCTAAAAAGAGGGCTGGTACCGAAGACCTGAAATCGTCTAAGAGGAAGAATGCGGGGCCTAATTATGTGAATGCGTATGCTGCATCAACAAACTCGAAACAAACAGATGTAGAAAAATCTGGATTCACTCCTATAGCTACTGGCAATGATTCCGCTCCCCATGATCAATTGTGGTTGTCAAACGAATTGAGAGACGATGCATTGTTGACAGCTGCTGCTTTAAACGGAGATTCACAGTTCTTGGATTTTATGAATAATCTTTCTCCAACAAATAACCAAATGATGAATGCGGGTGCCAACACAAATCCAAGAACCAGCCCTAATATTAGTAACTACAACTTCAGCGGAAATCAGAATGATTTTTTAAATTTAGTGTTTCACAGACATAATAATGTTTTCGGGAATAATTACGCCAACAGTAATGCAAATTCCAATACAAATACCCCAGTGCCAGTATCTGCTAGCCAGTCCAGCACAAATATGGCTATGTCAAACTTATTAAATGATAATGATGGTTCTAAGACAATAGATCCAAGCAATCAGCATTTATACTATTCTAATTATAACACTTATTACTACAATAATCCGTATCAAATGAATGAGAACTTAGAAATTCAACTACATGCATCGAAAGTACCCAACAATACAGAAGAGGAGAGTACTGATATTATAGAAGGCGATAATACAAACACCACTCAAATGCCTGCATCTATTATGTGCATCGTCCAGAGCCCATTGCAACCAAAACTAGGCTTCGATTTATCCATTCCTTCAATAAATAATTCAACAACCATGGGACTACCAACAACGGCTTTACAAGTTCAACCATTAACAAGATACTTATTGAACTACTATAATACACAAGTAGCAGATTTAATGACGGTCATTCCATTGACAGAAAATCCATGGAAAACCGTTTACTTCCCTAGAGCATTAATGGCAATAGGTGAGTTGCTGGCATTAGGAAAGACTTCAAATGCTAAGAATGCATTGCTAAACGCATTACTTGCAGTACTGGCATTTAACTTACAATCGAAATTCCCAAAGAATTCTGACCCAATGAAATACTATTTAAATTTGGGTATTCGGTTGAGGAATCAAGCAAGTTTATTTGTAAAAAGCTTATTAGGCTCGAATATTGATTCAAAGTCAGGGATTGAGAGTTGTGTTTTAAACGAAAAATATAAGGATGTGTTATGTGCTGTTATGTCCATGATTAGTGTTGATTTAGTTTGGGGTACAATGCAAGATACAAATTTGTATATCAGGTGGTGTGGTAAAGTTATAGCTGCAAAGATGGTTAATAAGAAGAAGTTATCCTCAAGAGCAAGAATCTTACACAGAATTTTTCTGTCATTGAAGTTGATTCAGGATCTGACATGTTTGGATTTAGATAATATTAAGGACGATTATGAAACAATCAATGAAAGTGGTTATGATGTCAACGGGGACAAGTTTTTTAGCACTTTACGTCAGAACACGAAGTCATCTGGTAAGGGTAAAATTGAATTCATTATAAACAACATTGAACACAGCAACATCACAGGAAACAATCAAATGAAAAACACTTCACCATTGTTTGTTAACAAGAAATTAATCAATACAAAAAAGAATGACGAAAATTTTGCAACTGATGCATTATATGGTTTGCCGAACTCGTTGATTTTACTATTTAGCGAAACCGTTCAATTATTGAGAACCAAGATATACCACCAGGAAATATATCAAGACTTACCTATCAATTTCCAGCAGGCTGTGAATAACCTAGAAGAGAAATTGCTCAATTGGAGATTAGATTGGAAATTATTTGAGACTGAAAATAAGGAGGAGGGTGATGGAAAGTCTGAGTCCAAACAAGATCAATCCGATGACGAATCCACACGCAAACAGGACGAAGTGGACAAAAGGTTCACATCTCCAATGCATGAAGCTACCTACCATCACATTTTATCATTCTACTACGCGTTGACAATCTATTTTAATAGATTAATCAATGCAGTCCCTCCGGAACAAGTACAGACAAAAGTTGAAAAAACATTGGAGCATCTAAACGCAATTCAGGCGCTCATCGCAAAGGATGAGGCTGCAATTATTCCATTATTCTGGCAGGGATTCATTGCCGGATGTGAAGCCACTTCAAATGACTTGCAAATGGGATTTAAAAAATGGGGGGCCGATATCGCCCAATATTTAGGTAGTTATTGGGGCGCACGGCAAATTATGCTCGAGGTTTGGCGTCGTAAGCGAATGAACGAACCGAGAGACGACTGGGTTAGCGTAATTAGAGACTGGGAAATGAACCTTATGTTGAATTAATTCGTGTATACAAATAAATAATAGCATAAATACTAGTAATAAATAATAATAATAATAATATAAGAACCTTGAACACCAAACACGGTTTTAAGCGTCTGACGACTTTGCATTGTTAAATGGAATGTTTCATTTAACAACTTTGGTGTTCGAACGCCAAAATCAAACGGCTAGACCTCCACGTTTATTTCTTCTTTGTTCTCGTGTTTGTTTTTGATTCCCGGTAAATAAATAATGAAAAAATCGCGATCTAATGTTTTATAAACAGACGCGCAAAAAAAGTTGGTGATGCGGTCTTAACTATGTAATTAATTATTTAGAACACCTTTTTGACTGAAAAAAGGGATGAGGTTGAACAAGAGAAGAGTAGATACGCGTAACTTGCGCGTTAACGATAGGTAGGCTTTTTGGTGATTAAGGGGGATTAATAGTATGTTTAATAGATTTTAACGAAAAAATTGATCACCCAAGAAGGTATAAATATGAATGAGATTATCCCCTTGAAGAAGATGAATTTGTTTTAATTATCAATAGATTCTTGATTACCAACTAATACACTCTTTTAATTACACACTAATAAAATGCAATACCAATTATTATCTGTCGCTGCTTTAGTCGCTTCCGTCGCCGCACAAACCACCGAATACGCTATTGACACTGTTACTGAGAACCACACCACCGATGTTACTATCACTCAATGTTCTTCTCACAAGTGTGACACTACCGTGCAACAACAAACTCAAACTACCGTGACTACCACTGTTAACGGTGTTAAGACTGTCTACACCACTGTCTGCCCATTGACCGAATCTGGTGCTGCTGCTCCAACTTCTGCTGCTGCTGAAAACAACGAAGCCGCTCCAGAATCTGAAGCCGCTCAATCTCAAGCTGCTGCTTCCGAATCTGACTCTTACGTTGATGTCACTGTTACTCCAACTGTCACCGCCTCTACCGGTGTCGAAGCTACTGTTACTTCTCAAGCTACCTTCACCTCTGTCTACAACTCTAACGGTACCGCTTCTGGTTCTAGCAGTCTTGAAGCTGCTAACACTGCTAGTGTTTCCGCTTACGAAGGTAAGGCTAACGGTCAACAAGCTATGGTTGGTTTAGCTGGTTTAGCTGCCTTAGCTGCTGTCTTATTATAAGCATAATGCTATAATTAATTTCATTTTTAAAAAAAAAAAAATATCGGTCCATTCCTTAATAGAAAGTACTTTTCACATTCACTAATCTTAATTTGTTATATTTAAGTAAAATTTATATTCTTTAATGTATTTTATTTATTCGGTTTAATATTAATGTACTAGTAGATTTTATGACTGATTAAGCTATGAATTGTCTCAAGGATTCCAACTTGGGTCTTGAGAGTTCTGAGTCCTGGGTCTGCTTGATACCACTACAATATTTTAATGGAAAAATATATATCATGTGTTTAAATCTTATATTTACAGTATTTAACTATTGTGAAAACAAATTTATGTAATCATTTTGTTCTTTACTTTGGAGTAATTGATATTCCATGTATTGGTTGTATTCTTCGCGTCCAATGAAAATATTCCACCAGCGATTCAATTTGAACAATGAAACGTTGTAAACTATACTTGGAAGACGCTTGTAACTACCAAGAACATAGAATAATGCATCCATAACTTCAGCGAAAGCTTTATTAAATTCCTCTTTTAATGTCAATGACTTTCTTTTAGCTGGACCTTTAGATTTTGAATCTTTGTTTGTAGACTTCTTTTCTTTAGTTGATTTATCGGAATCTAAATTAATTGACTGCAAAAATGGGAAATCGAGACCATCGTTCTTCTTTGCATCAAAATTCTCGTAGTCACCTGGCTTTACTAAACCTTTCTTGACATCATCAAGGTGACTCAAATACATTTGTTTAAAGTTGTTAATGGCTTCAATCGATTTAGATAATCTGTCGAAAGTGTTAAATAATGCAACTAATTCGATTCTTCTGAATTTTAATTTATCAATGTTGTCTCCTTCAAAAAGAATTTTAAAGGCAGTACCATAGCCAATAGTCTGAAGTTTACCCCACATTCTGCATCTGTCACAACCAACACAATCCATTATAGCAGAGACGTTTTTAAAACGAGCACGGAACTCATCCTTTAAAGTTGGTGATACTACTTCTGGGTTGAATAAAGTGGAAGAATTATACAACAAATTAGATGATAATTCAGGAACTATGTTACTTAATAATTGTTTGTAATTTTGGTCAGAATTAGACAAGAAATGCTGATTAAAATCATCACCGTGATCGATAGTATCAAGCAACTTTGGGAAATTTGATAATTTTACAATTGATTCACTGATCAAAGCAAAATTAAAGTAGATGTTAGATAATCTATCATTAAAAGATCCAACTCTTTCCATAAAAACTTTTAAGTTAGGTTCAAAATTTCCTGAACCAGGTGATAAGTATTCGTTTGATAAATGAACTGCGATAGATGCATGCATACCCGAAATCAATCTGTAGAATAATTTCTTCTCAACACATTGTTCTGGTTCTGCATTAGGATCTTTCATCGACATTGGATTCGTGTTTGGAAAGCAGTTTTCAGAATATATAGCCTTCCATACATCATATGATTGATTTCCACCGTATCCGGTGAAACGTTCTGGGTTATCCAATAAATTTACGTAAACACATTGGTGATCATCGTCAATATGGCAGTAATCAAAATCTTCGCAAGTTTCTGCTCCGTTAGCCGACTCGTCTGCCAATCCAGTTGATTCTGGACGTTTTATTTGCCCTAATTTGGAAGGCTTCAAGTTCTCATTGCTTATATTTGACCAGTTATATTGTGAAGGAGGCAAAATTTCAACAGCACAGTTTTCGGTAGCACAGAAGTGCTGGGTATCCCAGAATTTACATTGTTTATCGAAATTCAACTTAAAATACCTAAAGTATGGAGTTTCCACTAATGATGTCAAATATGGGCGAATCTGTTCATTTAAACGATCGATATATGAAAATGTTGTGTTACAAGTAGGCGTGATGATCTGAGAGCAGAAGTCCGGGGAATCAAATGGACTAAACTTCGTGAGTGACATACTACCACTAACCAACAATAACTGGCTTAGAAAAACCATAGTGGCGACTATGGAAAATTTCATCTTTATGTTTAATGTTGTTGATATATGCAAATTTTCTTTGTAAATTAACTTTTTTTTGAATAAAAAGAATCAAACTAAATAATATAACCAAAAAGACAACAAATGATAACCAAAATCTATAATGTAACTGAACTATATATGTTCAGGTAGGCTATCGTTATTTATCTTATTAATACTGATTAATGAAAAAAAGTTCCTGTCATACTACATACAGGAAAATATGAACACGTATCAATTTCTTTTTAATTTGCAACTAGAAAGTTCTATTATAGTCTATTTATATGAAAGGCTATGAAAATATACACTTGAAAAGAGAAGGAAAAATGGAAACAACGGAATGCAAATAATTAATCAAATTTAATCTTTTTAGCAGTTTTCGTCATGTCAACATCCTTGAAGAAAGCACCGTAGGCAGAATGTGCTTTCTTTTTTGTATGTCCACCGAATTTCAATAATTCATCAGGAACAGGTTGATTAGCACCTCTCAAGACGTTCATTAAGGCACCACTCAAGTGCTTTTCGTGTTCTGTGAATAAAGTGTGCGCGATACCAGTTTGACCTGCTCTACCAGTTCTACCAATACGGTGAACATAATCTTCAACAGTCAATGGGAAAGTCAAGTTGATAACAACCTTAACGTTAGGAATATCCAAACCTCTGGCAGCGACATCTGTGGCCAATAATAAGGTGGTCTTACCGGCTTTGAAAGCACCTAATGCGCTGGTTCTTTGTTGTTGAGATAAATCACCGTGGACGGCAGAAACCTTGAAGGAGTTTCTAACTAACAAGTTTTCGATTCTAGTGGCTTCTTTTTTGTACAAGGCGAAAATTAAAATCTTGTCATCCTTTTTAGATCCTGATTGATATTTTCTCAACAAAGAGAGTAATTTCTTTTCCTTGTCGTATGGTTCAATAACTTCGACTATTTGAGTAATTCTCTTGTTTGCAGATAATTCGTTTCTGTCACCAATGCTAACCTTGACTGGGCTATTCATGAAAGTGGAGGCTAATTCTCTGACTTCCTTAGGCCAAGTAGCGGTAAACATCAAAGTTTGTCTGTCAGCATGGTTGGTTTGTTGCATCACAGACTTGATATCTTCTTCGAAACCCTTTTCTAACATTCTGTCGGCTTCATCTAAAACTAAGTACTCAATCGTGTCCAAAGATAAAGCTCCATCGTTTAACAAATCAATCAATCTACCTGGGGTGGCAACAACAACACTGGCATCACGCAAACTCTTAATTTGATCGTGTTTAGAAACACCACCATACACGGCAACACAGTTAAGTGGGGTGTTAGCAGTCAAATCGACCAAGTTGTCGTAGATTTGAAGGGCTAATTCTCTGGTAGGCGAAATACACAATACCTTTAAGCCCTTCTTGTTGTGGGTTAAAATATTATTTATGGCTGGTACACCGAATGCAAAGGTCTTTCCGGAACCTGTTTCTGCGACACCAATGACGTCCTTACCACTTAACAAATATGGCCATGATACGGATTGAATTGGAGTAGGCTTAGGAAACTTAGAAATGACTTCTGCAATCCTTGAGTCTAAGTCGATTTGGTCGAATCCCAATAAAGGACGCAAGTTCAACTTGTGTGGGTCTTCAACGGTAACTTCGTTCTCTTGTAAAAATGAATCAATTTCTGATTGAGGTAAGCTTGTTAATGCCGGAGATTGAGTGTAACCAGTCGAACTACTTGCAATGCTCTTGCTTGAAACATCTTGGCTTTCACTCTTTACCTTTTTATCCTTCTTTTCCTTCTTATCTTTCTTCTCGCTCTTATCTTTCTTCTCGCTCTTTTCCTTCTTTTCCTTCTTTTCTTCCTTGTCTTTCTTTTCCTTCTTGTCTTTCTTTTCCTTCTTTTCCTTCTTTTCTTTCTTGCTCACCTTAACTTTCTTTTCTATTTGTTCGGTAGCCTCCTCAGAGTGCTTTCTCTTCTTATCTTTATGATCCTTGCTCATCGTTAATACTATTATTGCCCTTATAAAACATTGGACTTAAACATTTTTTTTCAGTTTATTTTTTTTTGTATCGCGAGCCGCACAATGACCTGCTCCAGAGATATGGACACGGGCTCGTGATACTGACCATCATTAGGATAAGACCCTTTTGTTTGTTTAGTTTTATGTATTATGTGTAGTATATATCTATAACATACTAGAAAGCAGGCGCAAACAATACATTTAGCGGGTTTGAAGACATTAAACAAAATGGAGAGTGTGCGCAAAAAACCAATAAATTTCTAATAAACAACACCATGTGGTTATCAAACGTGGATGTAGCAAACCGACCCACTCTAAGCATAGCCAGTAAACTCAAAGCGGAGAATAAACGTTGAAAACATGAAGACATGGGAATAAACAAGTAATAAATAGTAAGGCACAAATGCTTGGATTCATGCGCAGATAGGTAATGTAAAAATAGACATAAACAGCGGTACGCGTTATATGTACATTAAACATTTACAGTTAGACAGCTACTGCATTATTACTCTTCTTTCTGGTAGGCTGTTTGAATTGCTTGCTTTTCTTGTAGTGGATGTCAGATTTGAACTTCTCGGGCAAAATGACCGATTCACCGAGGTCATCGTCGTTATCCAAAGTGGTCAAAATCTTATAGTTTGTATTTGTATGTTTGGTGGGTTTCAGGGTCTTTTTGACCTTACTGACCATTGGTTTGCCCTTGGATAACGCTGCAACCTCGGCGTAACTAAGCTTTTTATAATTTATATCGACGAATGAATCCTTATCGTTCATCGTGTATTGAACTGCCTGCTTATCTTCACGGGTTATAAATTTATTGGGAATTTCTTCGGCAGGTATGATGGGTTTCTTATACCAAGATGGAAAGAATGTTTTAAGCATTATGAATTTATAGCGAGTTTCAATAAATATTTAACGTATGAAAGAATATAAATATAATCGTACACAAATAAATAAAGCGATAACCACCTATATATATTTATACATGAGCCTATGAACGCACCCACAACTAAAGGATCACATAATGTTTTGTTGGATTGCCCTTTTGAGATTCGAGACTACACTGTATACATTACACGCCTTCTCAAAATAACAACCTCCGTGTCATATGAAGCTCCCCGGATGACTCAACCACATGTGTTATCTATCTATAGATAAGACATTTTGATGATACGCGAGCCTCGAAGATCAGATGACTTGCTAAGATTCGTGATTATGCAGTATATACTACATACTAGAGAGACCATTGTATGATGGCAATCCGTGTAATTGGGTGTACTAAGCGAGACGATTGACTGTCTCTGGCGGAGGTTTACTGTTGGTGTAAGAAAGTTTGTAAAAAGAAGTCCATAGATGGTTCCTGAATGGCCTTGAGTCTCACCGCACTATGCATTGATGACCATAGGTCATTCATAGTGGAAAAGTTATAGAACGCAGTATGCTTTTGACGGAATTGGTGACACATGACACCGGTACATATTAGCTGAGAACGTCATGATCAAAACATCATTACATTCTCATTAGTACATATATTCTGTAATGTTGCATCAGGGATCCGAATACCGAATTTGTGTGAATCACTAGAGCAAACAGGCTTTCGCCAAGCTACCCGATGGTTTGCATATATTATTTGAGTTTCCAGTTAGTTCTAGAAAACCACATAACTATTAGAGTACATTTTGCAACAATTTTGTTGATGGTATTTTTGGTACATTTCCTGCTATTTATGAGCACTCAAAACTTAAAGATGTATGTAGACAGACGATAATATTACTATGCATTGTAATTCATAAAAGATAACCACTACACTTGTAATTATCATATATCATTAATAAATTAAAAGTAAAAGTTGTGTATTTGTACTGGTACACAAATACATAATGGTAAAATTTCAACACAGTATGAATTTCTTACTACGCTCATGACAACGTATCTGTGCTAGAAAACGGTTGGGTGTGAAAAAACACTTTCAATATGGTTTCTTGGGATGGTAGATATATTGTAGCTCAAAATAAAAGCTCATTTCTTTCACCTATACATATAATATTATACCATTAAGATCTCGGGAATATGTAAGAGCAAAATCTGGTAGAGAATTGGACTATTAGAGTGAACATTGGCATTATTGTGTTTGAAATAATTCCCCTTTTACATTCTTGTCCCATTGAAAACAGAAAAAAAATCTCCAAAACATTGCAAGACAGCCATGAAGTAGCATAAATCTTATCTCCCCAAGTAATCCGACAACTCTTTATTCTTTAATATCGTTATCCTATGTCTAGAAGTCTTCTTGGTTATTGCCATTTAACATCCTGCACATAAATATTCTGGTGGTAATCAAAAATAAATAGACAACCAACAAACTACTAATAGGTGTAACGTAGAAGATATTAATAGGATTGTATTATGGAAGGCTGGGGTGAAGTAAGTACTATTTATTAAAATATATTCAGAGAAATTACTAACCGATATAGATATCACGAATTGCTGCAACTGCCTCGTCTTCAGTAATCGACAATTCGAAGATTACATCACTACAATTTGATACTCAACAGAATTTGCTATGGTGTGGTGACTCAAAGGGGACCTCAAGGTCATTTACACCTCAGGCGACGTCTATTCCTATGCCATATCCAGCGTTGCATCTATCACAATATTCAAAATTTAAGTCGAGTCTAGGCATTTCTCCTGTAAAACAGTATTTAAACCACCAAAAGGGAATATTGTCATTACTGCATAACTGTGTAAATTTTAATAATAGAAGGGGATTGGCCCAATTATCATTGACTAGCGAGCTGTTCAAAGAACCAGGTTTTAATAATTTGACATGTATGACATTTAATTCCAATACCAATAATGATTTAGTTATAGCAGGGGATTCTTTATTCAAAGTAGATCTATTGAAGCCAAACATGACAACTTCATTCAATCATTCGGGAAAAGTTTCCATGATTGATAATACATTGAAATACCTTACTCTTGGTAAATCTAATGGTGAAATTGAAATATTCGATCCAGTGAGTAATCAAACAGTTAAATCGTTTTACGGCCATAATGGGTTGCTCTCAGATATAGACGTACAAGGAAACTATGTGGCATCTTGTGGTTACTCATTACGCCCAAGACGAAACCAAGCGTCTCAAAGTAGTTATATGATTGATCCTTTGGTAAACATTTATGATTTGAGAATGATGAGATCTTTGCCTCCAATTCCATTTCCAGCTGGGGCATCATTTGTCAGATTTCATCCTAAGCTACCAAATATTATGATAATTGCGTCTAGTTTGGGTCAGTTACAATTTGTTGACATCTATGATCAGCTGAATGTTTACTTATATCAAGCAGATTTGAGTAATGTAAACGCGTCAACACCGACAACTTCTTCAAACACATATTTGGCGAATCTTGAAATCAGTGGGAATGGTGACTTTATTACTTTCAGTGATGGGTTTCAAAACTTACATTTATGGTCGTTTAAAAATAATAATAGCAAGAATTTTATAAACTTTCCAAGTTATTTAGAACAGCCAGATTTTGTTCAACCATTTCAACAAAACCATATTGATGTAGATGACGTGGTTCCACTATCATCGATTGGTATGCCTTATTACAAAGATCTATTACTTTCAAATTATGCATCAGACTTACACTTTACGAAGGAGTTACTGAAATTGCCCACACACTTGGATCCAGAGTTATTGCAGAGTCAGTATTCACAAATTCTTCCATATAATAGTTTAAAATATGGTAAAAGAAATCTACATAAATTTTATGTACCATTGAAAACTAATATGCAAACAAAACAAAAATTATTCCCAAAGTTTATCAGTGAAAAAAATGGACATGAGTCAGTATTTGATAATGAGAACAGCAATATTTTTGAATATAAATCACTGAATAAGTTTGAGGTGCCTAAGTGTTATTCAAGTTTGAAAATTCAGTACTCTAAATTTGGGGTGGAAGATTTTGATTTTAGTTTCTATAATAGAACAAAATATAGTGGATTAGAAAATCACTTAGATAATTCTTATATCAATTCATTGTTGCAATTATATAAATACAGCTCAATTTTCCAGAATTTTATTATCAAACATTTGCTAAAGGAATGGCTACCAAATGACTTGACAACTATTATCCAAAAGGGCAACCCACAGGGTTCTTCGATTTTAAACGAATTAGGCTATATTTTTGATATGATGAATAAATCTCAAGGAAAAAATTGCAAGACCTCTAATTTCTCAAGTGTTTTGAGTCAAAATCAGGTAGCTCAAATGCAAGAATTAATCAATAAAGATGATTGCAAAAACTTGAATGCATTTGAAATAAGAGCTATAATCAGCAAGTTTAATAAATTTTTATTATCTACGTGCAATAATGATTTATTGAACCAATTTAACACATCGTTAAATGAAATTACGAACATAAACTACGAGATTGAAATTAAGAGTAATGGTTGTAATATAAACAATGTTAATTACAACAGTCAGTTAACAGTTGATCTCATGAGTCCTCCAGTTAATAAATTAAGCATTCTAATCTCCGCAAACTCAACTTCAGCAACAAAGAAAAATTTGAATATTTTAAATTACCTCGACTATTCGATGAATCAATTTAAAACAATGAAGTGTCAACAGTGTAATAATTCATTTCCGCATCTTTTAGAAATGAGACAATCTTTGGTTCAGTTACCACCTGTTCTTCTGATAAATGTTAACTTCACTGGTCAAGAATTTAATATAATCCCAAACTTTCCTAATTGGCTCGTTCCTGAATTTTATACTTATGAAATGAATAACAAAGTTAATTTCAAATTACAAAGTAATGATAATCTTTCAAATAAGTATGAGTTATTGGGTTATGTCTGTGAAATAAACCAGGGTTCGGAATTTTTAAAAGGTGAACATAACCTAGTCTCATATATCAAAATAGAAGGTCAATGGTATTTATTTAATGATTTCTTAGTAATGCCAATTCCCGAGTCTGAAGTGTTTGACTTATCTTATAATTGGAAAAAGCCAATTATAATTATGTATCAGTTGGCAAAAAGCGTGGAGTTGGAGACTTTTAAACAGGAATCTTTTGCTCAATTGCTGGATTTGAATGACTCAATTTTGTATCGTGATCATTTCGCTGGTGGAATCAGGGATTCAATTAAACGAGAATATGAATTGTTGACGAAAGATGAAGCACCCAGTGCAGGTACATTAATAGCAATTGATGCAGAGTTTGTGACTCTAAATCCGGAAGAACTAGAAGTTCATTATGGTGGTGTCAGGAATCTAATTAAACCTAGAAATCTTTCTCTTGCCAGAATTTCTGTACTTAGGGGTGATAATGGACCCAAACAAGGTGTTCCATTTATTGATGATTATATTATTCATACTTGCTTTATCGACGATTATTTGACAAGCTTTTCTGGTATTGAGCCAGGTGATTTAGATCCATCGACTTCTAATAAAACTTTGACAACGTTGCAGACTTCTTATAGGAAATTATGGCTTCTATTGAACCTAGGATGTATATTTGTTGGACATGGTTTACAGAATGATTTTAGGTGTATTAATTTGCATGTTCCTAAGAATCAAATTAGAGACACAGCCGAATTTTTTTATCTACCCGAGTTCAAACGTAAACTAAGCTTGAAGTTTTTGGCTTATATTTTATTAAAAGAAAAGGTTCAGACTGGTAACCATGATTCTATCGAAGATGCCAATACAGCTTTATTATTATATAAAAAATACCTCGAGCTCACTGCAATTGGTGATTTTGAATCTACCTTACACAGAATATATATGGATGGTCAACAATTGAGATTTAAAGTACCAGATTCATAGTATTTCTGTATATTTACTTGTATATTAGTTTAATTTAATAAAAAAATACCTTATCAACACTATCGTATAGATTTCTCGTGACTATTATTTTCTCTGCTAAATCTGAGAATTTAAAGTGGATGTTCACATTGTAAGGTGACCATCTAAGTAAAATCGGTGATAACCATGTCATTGTCGAATACTATGTCTAGCATGGGCAACACTAGTGGACGTGGTAGAACAAAAATAGCTACAGGGACAACACAGCCAAATAAAAAACTGCATACCAAATTAAAAAGTCATAATAGGTCATTTTCACATAATAAGGTGTTGAATAAATTATCTACCTCTTCGACCCCATTAGTACCAACTATGGGTACTAGACCAAATTTGAATCGTTCTAAATCTACGGATGGTTTAATTAGGCCTACGAATAGACATGGTGCTTTGAAAAAGAACAGTCGGTCATTTACCAAGTTGACTGGGTTACAACCATTAACGAAGACCATACTGAATCAGTCTATAAAATCTAGCAAATCTTCAGGTTCTCTAAAAGGTATGAATACTGCACACCATTTAGGTGGATTAAAAACAAGTGGCCGTAAAGGCAAGGCTATTTTAAAGTTGAACGATGACGATAATGATAACAACGACTACGAAGATATGGAGAATGAGAGCGTTGATGACGACAATGAAGATGCAAGCGCAAAAGAGAATGGAAATGGAAACGAAATTAATAACGATGAGAAATCTTTACTGCCTGCAAACTTCACCAACTATGAGAACGATAAATTGGAAATTAAGGGTCCTTCACAGTTACCCCTGGAAAGATCTCTTTCCGGAGCTCCATCAGCTCGAAGTTCGAGTGAAGATTTAGTGGCTAATAGTAATATGTATGGTGGTTCATTACTTCTTTCTCAATCAACAGGATTAACAAGGAAAATTAACTCTGCTTATAACAACAATAACTCAGCTTCACCTATATTGACACATAAGGCTACAGATACACATGACTCGTCAATGGGATCTACTAATTCTGAATCTGTAAGTGGAATATCATTCAAGGCTAACCCAATGGACAATGTAAACAAATTTCAAAATAATGTTGCAGAGCCCATCATAACTAATAAGAATGTGATTCAGGATAATTCATATCAACCAAACCAAACAATTTTCAATAACTTACAAAGAAATAATCAAACACAGTCTAGTTCTAATAAATCAATCAGTCAAAATATTTCTAGCTCTAATAATGGAATTTCAAATGACCAGTCGTTACAGTCATATTTGCAACAATCAAACCAACCGCAGCATAATATCGAAACTAGAACACAACAGAGGTTATGGTTACAAAGAGAGAATTCATTGATGGATGTGGTAAATGTGGATCCAAATAGATCAAATTTCTCTAGTTTGTCATTAAACAATATGATGTTTGCCCATAATTATAACCAAAGTCATCAAAATATAAGAGACATGCCACAAGTATCGAACCAAGTTACAGGACCTGTTACTCCTCAGAATGAGAACGGCCCATATGAAATGTCAAATAATAGTAGTGTTAATACAATCGCTACCAATAATGCTCCACAGCCAGGGAATGATCATTCAAATAGCATAAGTAATATAAATGGTTTACTAACAATGGTACAAAATAGTCATCAGAACTCTATTCAATCAAGAACTGAATTTGAAAGATTGAATAGGGAATACCTAAATGTGAGACGACATCTAAACCCTATTGGGGAAAGTCTTAATAGAGTGGAAGAAATCATGAAAAATACAAAAGAAATTAAAGTAACTAAAAAGAATAGTCATAAGAAAGCTCAATCTGTCTCGTCAGTACATTCGAATTCTACCAATGCCAATACTTTCAAGGAATTCTCGCCTTCATTTCAAGAGAAAGAGCAGGAAATTACCTCCACCTTGAATAAATTATGGCAGGAGGCATTGATATTGACTCTGTCTCTGACATCTTCATCGAACTCAATAAGGGTGAACCCTCCTCAGCCATCCCAACAGCCAATACAGGCGCAAATGCAAAGGTCCCACAACCCAAGGGTTCCGTCTTACGGACAGAGTCCTTACAGTAACTTGAGATCTCCACAGACCCCAACTACGCGGGCGGTTAAATTGGCTGCCCAGGCTCAGGCTGCTCAGGCCGCTAACACGAAAAGAATTAACGAACAGCATAACTAGATTTAGATATATATAAACCAATAAAAGTACGTTGTGTATTAATGCTTATATGTACAAGATAAATATTTTACACTCATGATGTAGAAACGAAATGAACCAACTAACCTTGTCTTTGTTTATGTTTACCATTACTCTTACAGTAAACATACACCCTGCCCTTTCTTCTAACCATGTAGCAATCTTTGCAGAACTTCTTAACGGAGGTTCTTACCTTGAAGCCTCTTGTTGAATTCAAAAGAAATGATGTGTTATTCATTGCTGGGATAGTCATCTTTGGAGTAGCATTGAATAAAGCTCTACCGACAGTAGGGCCAACCACTTGTCTTTTCACTATGGATGCCAAGGCGAACATTATACGTAGTTGTTAGCTTTAGTATGGTCTTATCTGTAGTATGGACAAATTTTTCATTTAACAAAAATTTGTTGATTACATAATCTTTGATTTTTGAGAAATTCAAACGCTGGAAATCAAAACTCAACACGTAAGGACAAATCATTACAAGAACTTGCTAATAAATACGACTTGAGTAATCAATTGAAGTGAATTTGGAGATGTCTACTCAATCTTACAAGAAGCAGGACCCGTATTCCATTTCGTCTAGTGGTTTACCGGACAAAATGACGGTTTTCCAAGAATGTTTACAACAATTTAATGCATCACCGGTTAATGCTAAGAAATGCCGTCAATTATTAGCTAAATTGTTAAGATTAATCTATCATGGGGAACTGTTTCCATCTCAAGAATCCACTACATTATTTTTTTCTATTTCGAAATTATTTCAACACAAGGATTTATCGTTGAGACAATTGGTTTATTTGGCTATCAAAGAGTTGTCTGCTACTTCTCAGGATATCTTGATGGTGACTTCTTCTATTATGAAGGACATACAAAGTGGGGACTTGATTTATAAGCCAAATGCTATTAGAACGTTATCCAAAGTTTTGGACCCATCCACAGTGTCGGCATCAGAAAGATTATTTAAGAATTGTATTGTTGACAAAAACCCTACTGTTTCATCAGCAGCGTTGATTTCTTCGTACAACTTATTACCAATTGCCAAGGATGTTGTGAAGAGATTCACAAATGAAATATATTTGGAAACTATTAACTCGTTTAAACAGTTCCCATCCAACCAATTTCAACTCCACGAATACTATGGGAGCTCCACTACTAACTTGCCATCCACTTCGTACATGTATCAGTATCATGCTTTAGGATTGTTGTACCAATTGAGAAATCACGATAAAATGGCGTTGATGAAATTGATCACTTCATTAAGTGACGGCTCAGCCTTAAAGAATTCTTTATCGGTTATCCAATTGATAAGATATATCAACAAAATCTTGGATGATGACGAATCATTATTGCAACATTTATTACCTATATTATCTGGGTTCTTAAAGCATAAGTCTGATATGGTCGGATTAGAAGCCTGTAAGACTTTGGTTGGATTGCTGCATTTAATCAAGGACGATGATTTTATGAAGATCATTGATACATTACAAAAGCTTTTGACTGTTCCAAGAACTGCAACCAGATTTGCTGCCATTAGATTGATTAATAAAATTTCGATTAAGCATCCAGAAAAGATCATGGTTGTGAATTTAGAATTGGAAAACTTAATTAATGATTCAAACAGATCAATCTCAACATTAGCTATCACGACCTTATTAAAGACAATGGGTTCTAGCACTATTGAATCCAGCACCGGAGGTGAAAACGTTGATAGATTGATCAGTAAGATGACTTCATTAATGGATGAAATTACGGAAGATTTTAAGATTGTTATCATTGAGGCCATTGAAAACTTGGCATTAAAATTCCCATCAAAGCACAAGAAGCTAGTAGCTTTCTTAACCGACTTATTAAGAGACGATGGCTCTTTACAATTGAAGTCTAGTATTGTTGATGCTCTTTTTGATTTAATAAAATTCTTGCCAGATATTAGTGCAAAGCAATTAATTTTAATGAACTTATGTGAGTTTATTGAAGATTGTGAATTCACCGAATTATCTGTCCGTATTTTGCATTTATTAGGTGATGAAGGTCCAACAACCACAAATCCATCTTACTATATCAGACACATCTATAACAGATTAGTTTTGGAAAATTCCATTGTCAGATCTTCTGCTGTTATTTCGTTAGCTAAATTCGCTGTTGTATGCAAGGGCGAGGTCTCAAGAAATATTCAAATTTTATTAAATAGATGTTTGATTGATATCGATGATGAAGTCAGAGACCGTGCTTCTATATCATTGAAGTTTATTGAAAATTCTAAGAAGGATTTGATAGTGACAGATTCGAAATATGACTTATCTGTCTTAGAAAATAAGTTAACAAATTATTTGAACGATGAATCTAATTTTGATAAAAAATTCGATATTAGTGAGATTCCTACCATTTCGACCGAGGAACAAAGATCTATTGAATACAACAACAAAATAAATAAAATGGAATCTTCCAACACTTCTGGCACCACAGAAAAGGATAGCAGCAAGAATAAATCTTCTAAGAAAGAAGGCGACAATGATACGCAAGTTGCTGATGATTCAGCTTCGGGTTTATTAAAACAACAAGCTTATGCTCAGGAATTATCAACTGTTCCAGAGTTTGCAGATTATGGAAAATTATCTAAATCCACTTCGGTTCCAATTTACTTGACCGACAAAGAGAATGAATTTGTTGTTACTGTTGTGAAACATTTCTTTCTCGAATCACAAAAGTTGGTATTACAATATAACATTACAAATACTTTGACCCATTTAGTATTACAAGATGTATCTGTTATTGCACAACCTGATAATGAATTATACCAGGAAGACTTCATCATATCCTTACAAGAATTAAGGCCAGAACAAACCGGTATTGTTTATGTATCATTCTCCGCTCCAAGCATCGACGACGAAGAATTAATTTCTGCGTTTGGTAACACATTATCTTACACTAATAGGGAAATTATCGATGAAGAGGGTAATATTGATGAATCAGATGAAGGTTGGTCTGATGAATATCAAATTGAAGATTTGGAAATTTTGCCAGGTGACTTTATCAGTCCATTATATAATTCCAATTTTACTTCAATTTTTGATCAATTACCATCTGAAGAGTCATTTGTGGTCAATTTATCCAATGCTAAGACTTTGGAAAACGCGGTGATAAAATTGAAGGCCAATTTAAATATGATGCCATTAGATGGGTCTGATTATGTACCAAGTGATGCAACTTCACATGTCTTGAAATTATTAGGAAAAGATTTGTGGGGCGGTAAAGTTGGTGTTTTAGTCAGATTGGCGTTAGCAGGGGGCAAAGTAGTTGCCAAATTACAAGTTAAATCAGAAACCGAAAACCTTACTAAAATTGTTGCTGACGGTACTTCTTGATTCTTGAAAGAACATGTTTTTATTTCATTTCTATTGTTAAGTAGATTCAAAATATATTGATTTATTAATTGTTGAAGTAGTTTGCAATAGGCTCCAATCCTTATAATCCTTGTGCTTTATATAACTATATCGTCTACTCAAATACTATAGTACATCCTTACATTTTCTGCAATTTGATTTGCTTGTATAACAACCCTCCCGAAAAATAAACTAACAATGCAGCCAACAAGATAAAGAAGAAAATCCAAATAACTGCCAAATTATCCGCTTTGGCTGCAGTAGGACAAGCATGATGGGACCTCACTTCGAATATGTAGCTACAGTCATTGAAAGAACCCACGTACGAAACAGTTGCTTTAGCCAACATCTCTCGATCGCAGGTGAACGTTAGTATGGTCGATTTTCTCACCTTTTCTCCAGTTTCCTGGTTGAGCATATTTTCACAGTAAGAGCCGCCAGTATAGCTCAAAGTAATCTTTTTGCCTCTCACTACAGGCTTCGTGGAATACTCACCAATAGAAACATATTTTCCCGTCTTGGAATCAATGTAGTATGCTCCCACTGCTGAAGAATTAGTTATGTCCTTCACTTCGTCGTTCGTATCATGCGTCTTCTTGAAAGGGCTCGAACACACACCAACAGTGAAATTAAGCCCAGTATCATATCCCTTGGATGACCAAGGCATTGCTCTACCATCATTCCCCTTGGATGACAAACTACTTAAATCAATGAAATGATGCGATAACGGACTCATAATTGTACACGGTTCCAATTCTAATTCCTCTTTATGCTTGTCTTGTAATTTCTTATTTCCCTTACCAGATCCCTTCACCGGATCTTTACCTAGTCCCGCATTTGCATTGTTATCATGAAGCGATAAGTGTGTAACTGTATCAAAGAGATGAGCACCGTTTTCCTTTAGCGTGCCATTCGGTTCAGATTGTTTTATCAAATACAATCCCAAGGTCACAACTAGAACGATAGCAAAAATTCCTAGTCTTTGGTACAACCTAGACATCTGCATACACGTTGAATAGTATATCGTACCTAGTATTTTGCACTTAGGAAGTCAACTTCTTCCTTATTGTCTTCTGATGGGATCTGTTTTGAACCGATCGGGTCCAAGATACACGTGATTATATAATCAACCAAAATTCAATCGATTAACTTGGGCTTATAGAAACAACATCCGTATACCTATTAACTAGAATAGTATTAAGAATATGGATGCATGGGCAGATAACTCTGCTGGAATGGTGTCGCTTACATCTCCAGAAGTAGGGATTAAAGGAGGATCGCATATTTTGAATTACTCCGACCCTTTGGTAGCTAAAGTTATAGAGTTCAAAAAAGAATTACAAGCAGAAGTAGAGACAAACATTGAAAATGAAGAATCCAATAACAAGCCAATTATTGAGATGATGATTGCAGCATGTGATGGGGACTTGGTTACGTTTGAGAGCGTAGCTAGATTGCACCCGGAGTTGATCAATACATTGTATCCTAGTGAAGACAGCGGCATATCGAGTTTAATTTTCGCCATATGTTTTGATCAATATGCCATTGCCGAGTCTATCTTAGCACAGCACAACGGAGACCCCGACTTGCATGATACGCTTGTGAATAATTATACGCCGTTAATGTGGGCTATTTATTTCAACCAGTTGGATATGGTGAAATTATTACTTAATCATCAAGCAGACCCATACATATCGCCTAAAGACGACGACAAGACGGCCATAAGTATGGTGACACCAGGGAAGAGTCATATTTATGAATATTTCAAGAACCACAACTTATTGAAACAGAAGTCGTCTTTGGATAGCGAGGATTATTACGAGTCAGGATTCCAATATCAGGAAGATCCTTTAGTTGACAATTTGACGAACCAGATTAAGTTGCAGAGTATCACGGCTACTTCTGGGTATCTAGAAGACGAGGATCATGATCAACCATCAGAAGATCTTGATGAAGAGCAAGAATTGGCTAATGATCCATTAATTACATCTTTAAAAGAATTTGATTATGAAAAGTTATTACCAGAACAATACATCAAATTTACTGATTCTGATATTCCATCATTATTAGACTACATATTTGATTTGAGAACCAAGAAGCTCGCATTTCAGCATGATACCAAGATCCCAGCGGCCATTGTATTTCAATTGTTGAGATATGCATATTTAAAAGTTGATAGCACTGAATTGTCAGAATTTTTATTTGATTGTTTTACTGCAAGATTAAGGTCTGTTACTAATACAAAGTCAGGTGTCTTTAATATGGCGACAGCTGATGATAAAGAAAAATCAACTGGCTCAGGTGATATTGTACTTTTAAGTTACTGGTTGTCAGTTATACAATTTTTACACTTTTATTTAAGCAAGAATGGCTTTTATACGAAATTTCCAAAGTTTTTACAAGAATTAATCAACTTGGTTCAATCATTAATAGCTACATTATCATTTTCAATTAACTCAAGATTGAATTTGTTGATCGATGATTGCATATTAGACTTCACTAATTTAGTCGATGTTTCTAATGTATTATACGCTAAGGATTGGAATTTTTTTAAAGGTAAGCGGAAATTCCATCCAAGCACATATGAAGATATTTTCGATATGTTGTACCCTCCATCACAAACTGAATTGATGAAACCATCTCCAATTAGGTATATCCAAGTCTTAAATGCTTTGGATTACGTATTAAAATTACACCAGGTTAATACTTTGATCAAGTTTCAAACCTTTTCTGAAGTATTTTACTATATCAACTCAATTATTTTCAACAGGATCATCTCACAGTCTAAATACTGTACAAGATCAAAGGCTATTCAGATCAGATTGAATATTTCTACTTTGGAGGATTGGCTAAGATCTCATAACTATAAGAACTACAAGCCTGATAAAATTGGACAAGTTTCAATGTTGCTAGGTCCTGCAAACCATCTGATGCATCTCAGTAACCTTTTAGAGGAAACAAATGATATTAAAAACCCGCATTCATTATCGTTCTACTATAATTCTTTATATCATATTGGTAAGACGCAATTGCAACCAACTATCGAGTTGTTACAATGGCTTCAGTGCATGTCGCTGTTAACCGACGAAGAAAGTTTGATTATAACTATTAATCAGTTCGATTATTTAAACTATTATCAATTATTCAAAATAATGAACAAATTATACAAATACGAAGTCAACGAGCCAAAACTTCCCAAGACTTTGACCAATTTAATTAAGAATTTACAGAATCAAAAGGGTGAATCTCAAGTTTCGCAGAGCAACTTGCATTACATGACCCAATCCAACTTTTTGCTGAAAGAAGTCTACATTTATTTAAATCCAAATTATGTGTTTGCGGTGGCCTTACCAAATTTAAATGAACTAATTAATAGTTATGGATCTGGAATTGGCGGTGTTAAGACATTAAGAGCTAAGAAATACCAACCTTCCTTACCATTGAATGTTGTAGATGATGTGGACGAGATTTTGACGCAGAATAAAAATGATGTTAATGACACTTTTGACTATGAACAGGACGATAATACGGCAGACGGAGTAGAAGAGGAAGAAGAAGAATCCGAGCGTTCGGCTAAAGAGACCAACCAAAAGAGTTTCAAGGGGGACGAACTTTTTAAAGAGGTTCAACTTCCAAGCTCGCTAGTTCATAAGAACTGGGGTGATGAAGATATCGAATCAAACCCGTGGTAGTCTCCTTAATCCCACACAACAACCTATATAGATTACATAAAAATATAAGCATATGTTTTAATCTACTGCACGGATTATATGCACATCGACATCACTAAACAATGTACGATGCAAAATTTGTTGTAGTGGGAGACTCTAGATGCGTTTTTGAATAAATCCACAAATCTGATTTCCGAAGCACAATTTCCGACATATGTATAAAGTTATTCATAATGTAACTGGATTAAATACCTGGCTAACAATCTACACTAAACATACATGTGGGAGCTAATCTACTCGACCTACAGCATTAATCGCGTCATAGACAGCTTGACCCTACTTTGCATGAAAGTCTATCAAGCTATTCTATCTTCTAGAATAATGCATGGCCTCCTTAAGCCAAGACTTTTCATGCGTGATTGTCATAGTTCTATGAAACTTAGCCATCTTTAGGGAGGGTAAATATAAAAAAATTGAAAACAGTTATGATCGCGTACCTGAAAATTTGTTTACATTCTCGTGAACAATAGGCAAAGTTCCGTTACACTAATATCTGATTGCCGTGTATTGTATTAACAATCGAAATTCCAGGAATACCGAACTTACAATACCCGGTAAAAGATGGTGTTGTGTAAATACTCCATGATGAATGTCGAGTATATAGTGAGTTAAATAGGAAGGCTTTTTTTTTTTAATAAGAAAGCAGAGAATACAGAATAATCCAATGTTTTCAGTCAATCGTTTATTTCAGTTCTGGGGTTTATTCCAACTCGCAGCATTTGCAGTTGCTAGTGATGGTTTTGTTAAAGTTGATTTCGACGTGTATCAAGGGTTAAACTTATCTGCTGCTTTATCAGGCTACTCACACATCTCTAGAAGAGATGGTGATGGTTCATTCGATGTTTCATTAGTTAATGAAAAACAATTTTATGTTTCAAAATTGCAAATAGGAACTCCTGAAAGTGAAGTCAGTGTATTGTTAGATACGGGATCGTCAGATTTATGGGTGATGTCAACGAAAAACCCTCAATGTAAGGACAACGGTGGTTCCATTGATTGTGAACAGTACGGCACGTACAACGAAACTGCTTCATCTACTTTCCACGACAACAAGACAGACTTTTCTATCCAGTACGTTGATCAGACATATGCCAAAGGTACATGGGGTACTGATACCATTTCTTTGACTGAAGGTTTGAAGTTAGAAAACGCAAGTTTTGCTGTCGCAGACGACTCTGACTCTAATGTTGGTGTTTTCGGTATTGGCTTCAAGGGCTTAGAAAGTAACCCAGAGCAATACTCCAACTTACCTATTACCATGAAAGAACAAGGTTTTATCAAGAAACTTGCTTATTCTTTATACTTAACTTCAGCTGAATCTGAATCTGGTTCAATTTTGTTTGGTGCTATTGACCATGCCAAGTACGAAGGTGAATTAGCTACTATAGATATCAGCAAGCTTAATGGTGATTATGCATACTTACAGATTCCATTAACCTCTGTCTCAGTAGAGGTTAACTCGAATGCTGATAACCAACCATCTGATAGTTCAGTTCCATCAACTGGTTCGAGCGTTAGATCCTTCAACAATTCGAGCCCTCAATCTATTAGTGCTAACAACTCACAGGCCTTATTAGATTCTGGAACCACTTTGACATACTTGCAGGATTCATTAATTCAACAAGTTCTTGAACAAGCTGACAAGAATGCTTCTTACAGTCCACTGGCCGGTGCCTATACCGTTTCATGTAGTTTGAGACTGCCAGGTAACAGCATGACTTTCAGATTCAATGACGAAAAGGATATCAAGGTTCCATTATCAGATCTTGTCTTACAAACAGGTCAAGATCCTAACACCGGTAAGGCTATTTGCATATTTGGAGCTTTACCAAGTAACGATATCATTCTTGGTGACAACTTTTTGAGATCATCCTACTCAGTTTTCAATTTAGATGACAAGACAATCTCTATTGCTCAACTCAAGCAAACCAATGATGAGGACATTGAAGTGATCAACTGATCGAATACCCATACTTCGAATACTTCCTCAATACATTCCTTGGTGTTCTTGAAATATCAATAGATAGTTACGACCAATAAAAACATTTTATAAAAATATACAAAATTTATTAAACAAAGCATTGGCCACGTCTTGTTATGGATGAGCCATCTACTGACCAGAATTGTATTCTCTTAACGTAAGCTCCATGTTGTAGATAATCGACCCATAAACCACTTATAAACAGAAGCTTTACATATTCAAGATTAATTTCCACCTTGTCGTAGCACGGAATAGCCCCCGAAGCACCATATTACTACAATTTCTATCAGCTCCTTCTCTATTGATACATAAGGCTCGTACGTCAAAATAATCAACAACCTGGGAACTGTTTAACCTACACTACTAACACTTCGTCTAATAACTTATCATTCATTTAAAATATCCATGAAAATTTCAATGTACAAGCATTGCATGTCATATATACAAGAGTCGCTAGATCTATTTCATCTTAGCAAGGAAATTATTGTTATTAATTTTGGCCGTGTTGGCTTTAGTTATTTGTTTTCTCCTCCATTTCATAAAATCCGTTTCTTTTAATTTACTGTCCAATTTTTCTTTATCAAGACAGTCCCATAACCACTCAGGATATTCATGGTCTTCCAATGCAACCGGTTCATCACCACTTTTCTTCATCTTCAAGTTTAATACCGTTCCGGCTTTACACGATGACTTAACTTCATTATTCTTCAATATGCTAGCCCTTGAAAAGGTTCTCACATTAAACCCGCCTATTCTCAACGGAACCCTCGTTATAACAGCTTTACTTAACATTATTTATACTAATTATCCTCTAGTAATATCTGCCATAAAGATGAATACTTCTATAATAATTTTCAGTAGGTGAAAAATTACCCGGCCTCAAAATGTCGCAAGATTATTTTCAGAAAAAAAAATCGACAAATGTCGCAAATTTCGACAACGAGCAATGCAGCCATACCTGAAAAAAATTCAGTCTACATTTTGATAGGTTTTTTTTAGCCCTTAATTCAATAAATATAAAGTAAAAATGCCTCCAAAAAAGAAGGTTGTTCAAGAAAAGCCAATTTTATTAGGTAGACCAGGTAATAATTTAAAGTCTGGTATTGTTGGATTGGCCAATGTCGGTAAATCAACATTTTTCCAAGCCATTACTAGATGTCCTTTAGGTAACCCAGCTAACTATCCTTTTGCCACCATTGAACCAGAAGAAGCTAGAGTTATTGTTCCATCTCCAAGATTCGATAAGTTATGTGAAGTTTACAAGCCAAAGAGTGAAGTTCCAGCTTTCATGACCATTTACGATATTGCCGGTTTAACGAAGGGAGCCCATGCCGGGGAAGGGTTAGGTAACAATTTCTTGGCCAACATTAGAGCAGTTGACGCTATTTTCCAAGTTGTTCGTTGTTTCGAAGACGCTGATATTATTCACATTAACGATGAAGTTAACCCAGCAGTCGATTTGGAAATTGTTCACGACGAATTAAGATTAAAGGATATAGAATTCGCCAAGAAGCACTTGGAAGGTATTGATAAGATTACCAAGAGAGGTGGACAATCTTTAGAAGTCAAGCAAAAGAAGCAAGAAGCCGAATTAGTCAATAGAATCATACAATTATTGGAAGACGGTGGAAGAGTTGCCAACCAAAAATGGACCACCAAGGAAGTTGAAGTCATCAACTCCATGTTCTTATTGACCGCCAAGCCAACCATTTACTTGGTTAACTTGTCTGAAAGAGATTACGTCAGAAAGAAGAATAAGCATTTGTTAAAGATCAAGGAATGGGTGGATGCTCACTCCCCTGGTGATATGATCGTTCCAATCTCTGTCTCTTTAGAAGAAAAGTTAGCAGGCATGGAAAACGACGAAGAAAGAGACGCTTACTGTAAGGAATTAGGTGCTCAATCCGCTTTACCAAAGATTATTGTTTCTATGAGACAAAAGTTGGACTTAATTTCCTTCTTTACCGGTGGTCCAGATGAAGTCAGAGAATGGACCATTAGAAGATTCTACACTGCCCCACAAGCCGCGGGTACTATTCATACTGATTTAGAAAGAACCTTTATCTTAGCTCAAGTTATCAAGTACGATGATTTAATTGAATACGGTGACGAAAAGAGTGTTCAAGCTGCTGGTAAATTAATGCAAAAGGGTAAAGATTACTTTGTTGAAGATGGTGATATCATATTCGTCAAGGCTGCCGATGGTAAAGCTCGTTAAGTACTATGTATGTAGTGTAATAAATCTATAATTTGGTTGCAATTGTTCCTTGCATATAACCACACGTGCGATTTTTAGTTATAAATTAAGCACAAGCCTTGGTGCTAGTATAACTATTGTTAAATAACGTTGTAGGCCCAGGAAAACTAGGAAATGGTCATAAATGAGAGAGACATAGTGATAAAAACCACAGGCTAATATGAGATTTTCAGTAAAACGATTATCTATGTACGTCACGGCAATCTTTGGGTTGTTGTTTATATACTTATTTGTGAATTTTTCAAATTTCAGAATACGGTATGATGATTATATGATCCATTATTCTTTCTCTAAAGAGAGTTTTAAAATAAGTGACGATGTGACGAGGAGCAGTATCCACTATTCAAATTATGAATTTTCGTTGATGAAGGAATTTTCAAAGTTGCATGATCCGGCCATCTTCAAGCAGAAAGCTCTATCCGAAAGATGCAGAGTATTCTTTGATTATTTTGACAAGAAGGATCCAGAGTGGAAACTTCGTACTTTTGATGATGCAACGTTTGATAAAAACATTGTACATAAGGGTCTGTATTTCAAAGAAGAATTAGGCAAGTTATACAAAAATAAGAAGGATGCAGCTAACCCACGACCAAATGTTGTTACACGGAAGGAAAATGCTACTATTAATAATATGTTCCTTAAGAGGTTAGAGGAAACCAAGAAAACTGAAAATTTGATGGCAGATTCCACAACATTAATGCGGATTTACGGTCAGTGTTTCATAAATGACACCAACGTTGACCAACAAGGGACGTTACAAGAAACTTTTAATAAATATTCAAGAAAAATGTTTCCATTTTTCACTAATAAATTACCAGTATTTGAAGGATTGAATGATAGAATAATAGAAAATGGCTTTCCGAACTTACAGAATGGATACGATGATAATAAGCATGAATTTGATGGTAAAAATGTAATAGATTTTATTAAGAAATCGAGTAACGGGAAAGGAATCGTCATATCTGCTTCTTCTTCGCACGTCAAGGATTTAGTGAAATTGATTCATTTATTAAGAGCAATGAATAATGAATTTCCAATTCAAATCGTCTACAAAGGTGATTTAAATAATCGAGCTAAATCAAATATTATTCATGCTGCAACAGACGAAATTCAAGACATAATTGACCCAAAGAATAAAGCTAGTAAAAGTCCAAATTCAATTGAAGCTCTGATATTAAATAATGTTGAAAAGTATGCATCTAAGTTCCCCAAGCAAGATATATGGTTTGTCAATATCAAAGAGACGATTAAGAGAAACTACAAATATTCTTTTCCTGGATATGCAAATAAGATTTTGGCATTATTATTTACATCATTTAAGGAAGTTGTTTTGATGGATGCCGATACAATTCCATTAATTTCGCTTCAAGAGTTTTTCGAAATGCCCCAATACAAAGACACATCAACAATGTTTTTCAGGGACAGAACTATAAGAGATATAAATGATTATCTCGAAACTAACTATTTTACAAAATTATGTCCAACTAGTACAAATTCAATTGATTCTTTATTTGGTATTAATGCTATAACAAATCATACTTTACTGAATCCATATATGACTGGATATAGACATTACCAAGAGGCAGGGGTTGTATTGATTGATAAATCTAAACATTTTCTAGGAATACTAATGATGTTTCCGTTGTCAGTTTGGAAGGAACCAGTCAAATCATCTATTTGGGGAGAAAAGGAAATGTATTGGCTAGGTATGTCAATAGCGGGTGATGAAAATTATCGATTCAATGAGTACTCTGCTGCGAGTATAGGAGAAATTATCACAAATCCAAAACACAAACATTATCCGAATTCTGATGCAAATGAAATTTGTTCTAGCCACCCTGGCCATGTAGACAAAGATGGAAAGTTGTTATGGATAAATTCAGGCTTTAAGTATTGTAAGAAAAATGCACATTTTAGAGATCGTAATAAATTTCCGTTCGAGACCTATGCGGTTGAAGAATTGGCCAATTTATATGATTCACCATTGAAAATAAAACATGGCATAGTACCACCTGACTTACCTGTATTAAGACAACCAGGAAGTCCCATTGATTTGACAAATGAAAATTTGATCAAGAACTACTGGAAAGGACAAACTAAAGATATGGACGAACTCAATGAAGAAGAATCAAACAAGATTAAACAAAAAGAGAAAGGAAATCCACAGAAGGGATGGAATAAAAACTCAATTTGTTCTAGTTATCAATACTGTGCATATAGCATAATTGATAGCTATCCTCACAATGATGGCCTGGTAGAGAAGGGCCATGTATTTAAGTTTGACGAAGATTTGATTTCGAAGTACGATTACTTAGGAAAAATTTGGGTTAATGGAAGAACAAAGTCTCTGGTTTAAATAAATCATAATATATGACCATAGAATATATATTTTATATTTATCAATATATTATTTATTCACTTTAGTGATAATTGTATGAGTTCCCATAGACTTCTCAAGATAACTCTCATCGTTGATAGTTATTTTGTCGTTATCAGTAACTGCATTTCTAACCAATGATTCAACCTTCTTTTGAATCTCTGATCGTTCATCAGCAGGTAAATCTGTAATATAGGATCTGGTTTCCCAATACCTATATACATCTTCTGGCTTAACTCGAGAAATATATAGTAAGAAAGCTTCTTTTAGAATTGGAGAGAAGTATTTATTTTCTTTGCATAATAGCTCTTTCCACTTGCCATGACGGTACTGAGGTACTTTCTTATCAAAAGAATAAATGTACTCACTAACTTTAACGCACCAAGGATGCAATCCGAAGAATTCGGCAATTTGGCTTGTAGTATTATCAGATATTGATAAACTAAGCTTGGACTCTATCTGAGTTGAAATATTATCGTAAAGAACTTCGGTTTCTGGTAAAGGAGGATGTAAATTCTGACTAATAGATGGAGCATCAAAATTCCAAATACACCCAAATGTTCCAGTCAGTTTTAAAACTCGATTTATCTCTATTAAAGAATTTTCGTCACTGAACCAATGGAAACCTTGAGCTATAATGACCGAATCTACTGAGGAATCTGGTAACGGAATATTATATGAGGATCCCTCGAATTTTTTAATATTTGGGAAGTTCTTATCGAATGTCTCTAACATTCCTTTAGAAGGTTCGACGACTATTAACTTGTCACTCCATCCGTGATCGACTAAATTTCTTGTGAATTTGCCTGTACCAGCAGCAAGTTCCAATATGGTTTTCTGGTTATCATATTCAATTTTGCCATTTGTAATTGATCCTAACCCTAAATCCAATAAGAATTGATCGACAATTTTTGGCGAAAACGATGGTCGATGCTGATCATACAGAGAATGGTTTGAATTGAATGAATTGATTGCTGTTGAATGTGTTTGCGGCATGATTAGTGAAATCAAAATGATAAAGAAACCAAAATCTACCAAATTCGGAGCCGATCGCTTTTATCTTATTTTGCATTCTACAATAGTCCTAAATAAATAATTCGTAACATATGCATATATATATATATATATAAATAAATAAATGTAATTTAAGTTCATAAAAATGTATAATTCATGTATAATTCATGTAGCTCATTATAATACTGAATCATTTAGTACCTTTCTAAAGTCATTATCATGCAAATCAATCTTCTGTTCTTGACAAAACTGATTTACTACGTAAGTATTAATTGGGTCACCTAAAAAAGTGAAAGCATCTTTAAGAGATTGCAATACCATTAATTTATCATTGGGGTTGGTAAATAAAAATTCCAAGAAATAAAAGTTCACTAAATCTGCTATTTTATTTCCCCTGATTATCTTATTTGTCAAAATGCTTAACTTGTCAACCGATCTAGTAACTGCTAAATATTTGATAATAAGATTTAAGTTTTCAATGGATACATTAGTAAAGCGTATCAATTTCATAAACTTCAATGATTTTTGAAAATTGTTAAGTAATGATAGCTGAGATGTGCCTAACGAGTCGTTAATACTAGCGGCTTTAATATAAGTGTTCATCATTGAGGTAAACAATGAATTTTTATTAAACCTATTGTTTTTTTGAAATAAGTCATTCATGGCCTGAAGATCGTTAGCTTTTAACAAGTTGATTGCCATTTCATTAATATCATTAAATGATTTTATTTCAATCGGTTTTAACTGTCCATTCAAACTTTGCATGAATTCAACAAAATCAATCAAATTTCTGGTATCCTCAGATTGGTTAGCAATTGGTTTAAACTTCTGCAATATCAAATTAAAAGAACCATTCAATGTATAATACTTAATGAGAACGTTCACTAAATTCACGTTACTCATCAATATTTTGTTAGATTCAGGAGTATTAAAATAATTTTTGAACAACTTATTAAAATCATTTGATTTTTTCAATGCAATAAATGTTTCAAAAAAGGATTGTAATATCTCAATATCTACAGGAGAATTTAAGTCCAAGTCATGAATTGGATAACCTGCTTCAAAAATCTTATTAATCTGTCTGTAATTTTTGTTTTTGTTTAAGTATTGGAAATATTCATTAATCCATTCACTTTTATCTGAGTGCTCAACCATATATTCGAAATTTTCGTTGACAAGATTACTCAAATACTGATTTGGAGATTCATAGATGGCTTGCATAAATGCTTTCAACAAATTATTATTAATCATCGAAGGAGACTCAAATAAAGATTTTAACAAGTGAATATTAACCTTCTCGTTCTTTATATTTATCAATGCTAGAAGTAAATTATTTTTTTCGTTAATTTCAAAATTCAGTTGCAATATACTCTTCACAAAGCTGCTAATTTCAATTCGCGTGTTCTTTTCTAAAGTGTTCAAGACAAAGTTTTGGTTAATAACAATATTCCACGTAGAATATGTAAATCTGTAACCTTTGTTGAACAAGTCAATAAACCTTTCTATCCCAACATTATAATTGATACTCAACAAAAATGCTAAATTTAAATCATAATTAAAGTCTTGATGATGATCCTTGGACATTTCTGAAGAGGGAAGTTCAATATCATAGCATATACAAGCATTAACGATGTCGTCGTTTACCCTAAACTTTGGAATCGTCATATAATAGCTCATAGTACTGATAAAGTTTGATTTCAACAAATTTTTGAATTCAATCATATCCGAATCTAACTGAATATAATGGTTTTCAGTATTTTCGAATTCATTAATCAATAACGATTGAAAGTGTAAAATTTTAAATATGGCAGATTTATCAATATGATCAATTCCCAAATTAATATACTGAATCAAAAATTTAGAAATTTGTGAGACTCCGTAAATATTATCAGTTTGCAAACTAAAATCAGTAAATGCCTTATTAATCAATGCTGAATTGAGTAACACTTTCATATTGTATTCATTATTTTGCAACAATAAATAATTAGTCATTTCAGAAACATAATTGTTTAATAATTTTGAATTACTCTCATAGTGCTTTGATTGATTCTCAATCATGTTTGTCATCAATTCAAAGTAATATGCGTTAAATCCGTTATTAGTCGATCCAATATATAAGTAGTTGTTGAGCTTTTGAAGGACATTCAAGTCTTGGATCAAATGATTCTTTAACAAAATTTCCTTAATTATTTGAAAAACTTTTTCGTGGTCACCTAAATCAATACTCAATGATAACAAATATTCACGGCAATTAAACATTCTGTTGTGCAATATTAAAGATACCGTATCCGGATCCAGTGGCATATGATAATCCTTCCTAATAGCAAGATAGCTATACAACTTCCACATAATTCTATAGTAGCCAGCCTGTAGCTTAGAGAGTTCTTCGATTCTTTCAGGTGATATCTTAGCCAATTCATATTTCTCATTTTCAAGAATGTGATACTGATTAACAAATTGATTTATCATGTTGTTATATAAAGACACCGATAATTCAGGAATATAAGAAAGTTGGTTAAACTTCATTAATAAATTGTAAGATTTATTCAAATTTTCACGGCTATAATCTTGATTCATGATTGATTCCACGTAGACAGACAAAAGATTTGAAATATGCTTCTTTGAAATAGATGGAGCTTTAAAAGATTGTAAAGAACTCTTATAATCAACCAAAATATCGTCTAAAAACTTGGTCGCTAATGGAAAATTGTCGGACTTGACTAATGTCAGTATTAAGATAGAATAAACATCGTACTCAAATAACCTCAACTTGTCAAACGTTTGTGAATTATCCTTGTAATTTTGATAAATTGTAAAAATGAAATTATAAAACTCTTCTTTCAGTTCGAAAAATTGTAATTTACTAAAATATCTAGATAATCCAATGAGACTAATATAGTAGATTCCTGATTCAGAATTGACGTTTTCATTTAAATTCAAAATCTTAATAAATAATTCTTTCGAAATCAAGTTTGGATGAACATTTAATATGGAAAATAATTGTGGTAAGATCATTGATAAATCCAAGGATTCTATTTTACTAATAGATAAAAATAAATCGATTCCTATTTGAGAAAATTCCTGACTCTTAATGAACGATTCATTGTATACTGATTGTGGGCAGTCTAACATATTACCTAACTTTATTGTTTGTAAGCTTCCTCTTAATAATTCATTAAGTACAATCCCGTAGGTCTCTAAATTTGGTTTTACTTGTTCATTTGAGCCCATTAGTATATCCTGATACACCGTCAATAAATTGGTTAAACGAGATTCGATGCTTTCAAGCGTTTTGACGTCGTTATCTAAGTTTCTTTCTATTATGGATTTCAATACAATATTGAATAAATAAATTGATGGAAGTTGTAAAGAATTCCTCTTCAATGTTTGGTATAATGGGTATATCAAATTTAATTCCATGGGGTCTTGTCTAGCATATATGGCCTCGATGTTAGAACATTGCGTGTGCAACAAGTTCGATTCAAAGTCTTCTTCCTTATCTTCAAGTAGTTCTTCATACTCTGCTGTATTTGTTTGATGTTGGTGATGCTGGTGATGATTTCTTATTGCGACGGTTGAAAATCTTCTGGTTGTATTAACAGAAAATTTCGGCTTTACTATCGACAGGGTAGACAAAAAATCTCTTGATATTGTCTTCAAGTAGTTAATGTTATTGTATATATCCTGATTTGCTTGCAGTATTATGAAACTGGTGAAATTATCAAATAGCCTATGTTGCGAATTGCCGTCCGTAAGCTGGTCATAGTCATATTTTAGACTAGTCGTATGTTGTTTTCTTTTGTTTTTATCACTGTCATGATTAAATATAGTGTAGTATAACCCATAATGGCCAGCATCTATACCTAAAAAGTTCCTTGGTGTAGTTGAAGGATGCGGATCGTCATTGAACCATTTAGAATTATAGAATTGGTAGAACTGAGTTAAAGCATTGTGATTCTTTAAATAAGGGTAAGAACTCTGAAAAAATTGTATTTTCTCACTGTACTTTACCAGTTTAACGAAGTTACAGAATACCATCCTTAATTAATCATTATAATCCTTAATGTCGTTAGGCCAGTAATGATCTTTTTCTATTGGTGTTTTCTCTTAGCGCTCTTTTTTTTTTTTCTGAAATTTCTATATCCGTCGGAACTTTTCGGATATAGGAACAACTCGGCATTCTACTACATTAGTCACGAATATATTTAATGATTATTACAAAAGTACTAAGCTATTGATCTATTAATGATAGCCTTAATATCTGCTCTAAATCGTCATCATTAACCGGCTCTGTCTCGGTTGATTTTGAAAGTTCAATTGCTAATTTGAGCTGGGCATCTTCATCATTCTCAATACTTCCTACATTAGAACCACTGGAATTTTGAAAACTCTCACTCATTGCAATAGCTATTGAAAGCTCGTCATCATTATCATCATAATTGTCACCATTGTACTTTGCAAAAAGTAACTCTCTTTTGCGTTTAGATTCCTGTAAATTTTCGTAATCATCTATTTCGTCTTTGATATTTTGATGAACAACCTGTTTGTTGGAAGGCCCCACATTCAACCTCTTTTTAGCCGTGGTAGTTGACTGTTGCTTTGGATCACCAAACTGAAAGTACTGAATCGCATCACCGCATATTATTATACCATTAGATGCTGTGGGACTATCATTCAACTGGATATCCTTTATAGGAATGGTATGCAGATACATGTGGCTAAGTCTCTTTGGAAACTTAATGGAGCACTCTCTTATATAGTCACCTGTAAATACGTTGTATAAATTAGTAAACCCATTGTATCCTCCTATGGCTATAATTGAACTGTTTAATGCGATTGAAGTAGCGTATGTACGATCATTAGGTATTGCAGGATGATGCTTGTTAAATATGGGTGTAATTGTACACTGTGGAACGATTTGAGTAGCCGGTTCCCTAATGTTCCAAACTATTACTGTATCATCTGATAAGATGTTGGCACACATTAGCCCGTCACTACCAGCAATTTCTGAATCTCTGCTGTGCAATTTATTGTACGGTACAGTTTGAAATTTGCTTTCAAGAATACTTACATCGCTAGGTAACATAACCTCTTTGAGTCTTATGTTTCCTAAGTTTTTAAAATTGACCACCTTAATTGTTGACTCATAACAAATAACGATGTTTGAATCACCATAATCCACATCAACGAAGCTGTTCTCAAAATTTTCGAGTGAAATACCAAGATCGATGCTGATGATTTCAAATGTACGGAAGTGAACTATAAAAGTCTTCTCTTGTCCTTGTGCTATAATGTAATTCTTAAAATCTGACTTGACTGCTATTATGGGTTCGTCTAATTTCACTTTCTTAAGTAGCTTCCCACCTAAATTCCAACATTTCACGCTTCCTTTTATTGTAGTAGAAATGCAATCAATACTCTCTTTACGTTTGTCGAAATGGTAGTTCAAACAACATCCAGTTATTGTATCGTCCCGAGAACCCTGTTCATCTTCAAACTGTATAAGCGATGACCGGTTTGAACCAGATGAGGTAGAAGTTATCAAATTCTTTAAAAACAACTCTCCATTCAATTTTCCAACTAACAAATAAGTCCAGTTAACTGAGTAGCATGTTATCTGCGTTAATAAGTGATTCCCTGGTATGAACGTTTGGTTCTTACCATTGTTCAAATTACACATCGAAATATCTCCACTGATCCTTGCAAACGTCAATAGCTTATCCTGGGCAAAATTTGTCAAGGCAAAATCCACCAACCCATATTCATTGTTCAATAACTGATAGTTCTTGTGTGTTGCTATGGCTTTCTTCCACTTCTTGTACATTTTCAACCGGTATAAATATTCCAGTATCCAAAGCTTGGAGTTACTTACACTAGGAAATGTCAGTCTGGTACCAAACTTTAATCCAAAGGACTTTATCCACGTAGATCTATCCAGCACAGCATGATTCCAGTGTCTGCAAACCAATCTCATCGAGCACAACTGTATAGGGTCTAAGTTAGAAAACACCTGTATCAATATTTCATTAGGCAAGTCATTGATTGTGATATACTTGGAAGATTCAACAGACTGGGTAACATTCTTGATAGTGTTTCCCAAACCATCTACCTCTATACCATCACTATGTTCCATCACCACTGGGCTACTTAATATCAACTTTATCTTGGAACTTGTTAGATGCAATTCTATATAAATAATGGCAAACGGTTTTCTAAGCGAGCAGCCTCGTGTCTCACTTATTACCACTTTGGGAAGTCTACGGATTTTCTGATCCAAGTTATTCGATTACTTCGCTACTATATACTCCAATGTAACCTCCAGATATATCAGTAGATTCGAAACTGTTAATTATGCAACAGGCCATGGATCTAAGGCATGATTCAAACATAGCTATTGGTGCAAAATTCTGTCCCATTTTACATCATAAAAAATAAGTTCTAAAACATAAGAGTAAGTCGAATAACTCCTGAATGAATGAACTATGTCAAGAAACCTATCCTATTACCAGTTATACCACTTTACTTTAGAGTCTTTTTTTGCAGTAATTAACCCATAATCTCCGGGGATAAAAAATTAAAAAAGTTACACAAACATAATTTTTCATTATTGAAAAAGTTCGACCAATATAATACCGATCTTTTGAAATTTCTCCATATTCCAAAATTGTAATTTGTTTCGAATAAGGATATTTGTTAGCTATGTCGTCCGACGAAGCATCTGCAGAAGCATTGGTTCAAGAAGAAATCAAGCAGATTACGTTGAGAATCAAGCTTCCAGCTTGTATTTCCAATGAAGAAGACTTAGAAGTTCCATCATTGTTGAACGAAACGTTAGCTGATATAAGGGAAACGTTAAATCTTTCGGCTGCTACTCAGAATTTGACTAATTTTAATGTTTTCTACCAAGACGTGAATCTCAGTGAAAATTTTGATGATTTGGTTCCATTGAAGGACATTTTGAGCGAATTGGGTGTTGGCGAAATCGATAAGTTAAACTTGGTATTGAAGGAAAAACCATACAACTTGGCTGCTATCTATGACCACTTGAACAAGTTTAGAGAGGTTATTGGTTTGCACTTCATTGACAAGTACAGTTCTGAGTTTGGTGTTTTGAGTGGTGTTTCGAAGTTCGGTGACCTTGACTTGCACGAAGTTAAAGAAACCGAACCGGAAACCCAAGACAATAAGAGCAAAGAAACTGATGAAGTCAAGAACACAAGCGATGATGCTGAAAATTCCGAGGAGAAGAAACCAGAAATCGTGTTTACGGCTGAAGAAAAACAGCAAATAAGCAAAATCACAGATGAATTGATTTCTGGAAACACTCCAAGTTTGGTTGAATTCGGGACTTTTAACAACGTTACTGGGAATATCAAGACTCCAGTTAAGTCTTTGACTATTTCACAGTGGTCTCCTGTACCGTCATATCAGAAATTAAAGGGTGACTTGTTATATATTACGTTACAAACCTTAGAAAATGAGACTTTCAATATTACATGTCATCTTTCTGGGTTTTTGTTAACAAATCCTCTACTATTAACTTCAACCCTTCAATTAAAATGAATGAAAATGGTAAAGCTCATAAGGATTATTTGTTAATTAATTTGGTTGATTCATTATCATCTTCTTTTAGTAAGACAATTCAAGAAAATGAAGTGGCTTTATCAAGATCCAGTAAACATCCTGAAACTTACTTGATTCCTTCAAACTCTTTAATGACAAGTCCCTGGATTGTCAATCCATCTAATTTTGTCAATCAACCAGATGCTTCGAGATCACAATTACCTTTAATTTCGAATGGTGTTGATGGATCTGGATTTGTTAAGGAATGGAATGAGGACTTCCAAGCTATTCGTGAATTACCAAACTCCACCATTAATGAAAGAATTTTAAGGGAGAAATTATTAATTAAATCATTAAATGAATTTAATAAGGTGGCCACTGAAACTGCTATGAATGTTATTAAAGGTAACTTAACACCATTGAATCCAAATGAACCAAAAGATTACCATATTTACTTGAGAAATGGAATTTTCTACTCATTAGGTGTTAATGCTACTGGAGCATTTGATTCTACTGGAGGTAATGAAGCAGCAAGATATACTTCTAGCAAAGATTTAGCAGCCATTAAACTTTTGAACAGAATTGATGCTAAAGGTATTTATAACTTAGTTACTTGTATCGTTGATTATATGGGTCAAAGAGTTATATGCCAGGCACCTGTTCCAGGTATTTTGGATTCCAGCCATGAAGATGAAAACGAGGAAGAGCCCGCTGATAAGGTCTGCTACGGCTTATCCACTGATGGCTCAAAGATTCTAAGCGACTCTTCTTTCGAGAACGTATTGAAACCAATTGCGGAAGCATTCCATTTAAAGTCACATTCGGTTACTTTAGATAATAATGTGAAATCTGAAGGTGATTTAATTACTTCGAAAGACATAAAAGGTGTAAGAGGCACTGATGAACGTAAATATATTATTGATTTATACAGGGCCACTCCCCTTGATATTGAATTCATTGAATCTCACTGGGATGAATCCAAGGAAACTTCTTATCCTCATAGAGAAACTGTATTAAGACACGAAGCTGTTGAGGAATGGTGGAAGCGTAAGGTTTCCGTATTATTCAAAGCCGAAACAGAACGCTTAGAAAAGGAAGGGAAATTGGAAGCTAAGGATGGTGAAAAGCCACAAATCGTACTTCCATCTGATCAAGTCACTGTTAATACTGATGCCTTTACTTCAATTGATGAAAATTCAACCGATCAAGACGAAGTTAGGGAAGTCTCCAAGTTTGTTAAAGAACATTTAATTGAAGAATTTTTAGAAGAAAACTCAAAACAAATATCTCCATTCGATGGTAACCACTTAACTTCAATGTTGCACAAACAAGGTATTAATTTAAGATACTTGGGGTATATTGCTGAACAAGCATGCCTTAGAAAAGAAAAACACTTGAAGAAAACTGCCGAAGCCAAAAAAACAAATGAAGAAGAAGTCTCAAAGAGAAAGGAAGAATCTGAAAAGAAAGCGGCTGAAGGAGAAGATAAGGATAAGAAGGAAGAAGAGAAGTCTAATAATGAGGAAAGTAAAGAAGATGATAAAGAAGAAGTTTCAAGCGGTGAATTCGAACCAATCGTTGCAAACTTTGATTCTCTCTTCCGAATTTCCGTTCAAGAAATGGTTGCTAGATCTGTTAAGCATTTATTGCGTAGACTTTCTGCTGATATCCCAGTCTATTTAATTCCTGCCTTTGTTTCTCATTTCCATAATTGCTTATTAGGAAGTAAAATTGATTCAAACCCAGAATGTGTTATTGATGAAACTTTAAAGAGCTTCTATAATGCAACTGAATTAGAATTTACTAAGTTAAATAGCAGAAGTGTTATTGAATTAGTTGCAAATGAGGTTTTGATTCGTTTCAGATATCAATTACCAGCAGATTGGATTTCGAATTTAATCAGACCACTTCAATTATTTAGAGAAATTGCCATTAAATATGGTATTCAATGGAAATCATTGGATTATGTTTTCACTAAGGAAGAATTTGAAGATTTCAAAGGCAAATTAGCTGTGGAAACACAAGTTGTTGAAGCTAAATCTTCTAAAAATAAAAAGAATAAGAAACAACAATCTCAACTTACTACTAAGCCTGTTGAACGCACTACAATTTTCGTTACAGATGACATTGTTAATTTTGTGCCAATAGTTAAAGACTCAACTTACAAGTCAACTCTTGTTGACGAAATATTTGAAACTGCGAGAGCTCAAATTTTCAAAGGCGAGAATGAAACCGGAATCAACTTGTTGAATAATTTGTTATCTGTATATGAGCAAATTTATGGTAGAGTTCATCCGGAAACGAGTAAATTTTACGGATTATTATCTCAATACTATGCCGAATTGGGTTTAAAGAGTGAAGCTTGTGATATTGCCCGTAAAGCTTGCATTTTGGCTGAAAGAACTACTGGTTTTGACTCGTATGAAAGTATTACTGCTTATATCAATTCTGCATTTTTCGAAAGTACAAATGATGACTACATTAATGCTTTGAATTTGTATAACAAGGCTATAAATGACTGGACCCTTGTTTATGGTGATGGTCACCCATCATCTGTCAATACATTTGCTAACTTAGCAGAACTTTTATCAGAACATAAGTTATTCCAGCAAGCTAATAAATTGTTTGAAAAAGCTATCTCTATTTCAATTAAATTGAACGGAGAAGAATCTCAGATCTGTGGTATGCTTAGATACAGATTCGGTGGCACTTTGTTAGGAGGTGGTGATTTTAAATCTGCTTTAGATCAATTTAAGTCCGCTAATGAAATTTTCACGAAATTCATTGGTCCTGATGATCAGCTTTCGAAGAAGTCTTCAAGCTTTGTCACTAACATATCCACTTATTTAGCTTACAATGAGCAACAGAAGTTAGAACAAAAGAAAGCACTTGCCCAACAAGCAAGCTCTTCTAATGGTAGAGTCAAGGCAAAGTCTGCCATTGAACAACAATTAAAGAGCGGTAAAAAAGGAAAGAAAAATGATGTTACTCAACCTAATCCTGAAATTGCTTCTAAATCAGTTGATGATATTTTGCAATATATTGAAGGAAAGAATCCTAAAAAACAATTAAAAAAGAAATCAAATAATAAAAAATCTAAGAAATAAATAAGCTAATTGTTTTATTTGTAAATAGTTTATATACATAACTTTATATATACATATACTCCGTCGTCGTCTATTTTGTATGTTCATGAGAAGACTCCGTAGAACGTTCTTGAGAGATTTTCTGCTGCTCAGAATCCTTAAATAAGATAAAAATATTTCTGACAAATTCATAATCTGCTTTAATGGCTGTTACTAAGTTCGACTCTATTTGGTTGAGCTCTTTAAGTCGAAATTCTTTCGACGTTGAGAGAGTCATATAGATATTGGTAATTGCTCCAGAGTTTAGGACGGATAGTTTATCAATCTTGAATTCATTGTTAGCGACATTTTTAATTTCTTCTGTTACTATATCGTGAACTTTAGAGAATACTTCACTTTCAACATCTTCTCCCTTGTCGATCAATTCAAATATTGAGGTCTTGAAACTATCCCAACCAGCTTTAATGATCAACACCGAAACACACAATCCACCAATCGAATCCAACCATGCAACGTTGAATATATTACCACCAGCCACAGTCAATAATGCGACCACTGCAGTTAAAGAATCAACTCTATGATGCCAAGCATTGGCAACAAGAACCTTAGAATTGGTTTCAACAGCAATTTTCATGGTCTTACGGTAAAGAAGCTCTTTTACAATAACAGAACCACCAGCTAACCAAGCAGCATTAATGTTAGGGATTGGTCTTGAAGTCGGTACTATGGATGAATCTGGTGCTCCACCGCTCATATGACTATGACCATGGCCATGACTATCGACTTCTCCTCCCAATCCAGCATGGGAATGGGAATGACCAATCTGAATCATAGAAACGTACTCAAACATGTAAGCTGGCAATGCAAATTCAAATACCTGTAGCAATGAAGACCAGCCCACTGAAACACCAGCAAATAATAAAACTCCGCTAACTAGTACCGAACCAATAGTTTCGACTTTTCCATATCCTAAGGGATAATGGGTAGGCGATCCAACTTTCTGTGCAACATTGACTGTAGCCAACGTCAAAAAATCAGCAAACATATCAGAAATTGAGTGAATTGCATCTGCAATCAACGACTGGGAGTGGAAATACACACCACCAACCCCTTTGGATACTGCCATTGCCACATTTACCAATAAACCGATCCAGGTGATACGGACCGCTGGATTGTGCTTAATTGTGTCTGTATTTACTGAAAGAAATTCATTCGGTTGATGACGTGAATGTGAATGGGAATGTCCGAGTAAGCTGTGTTCATGGCTATGTTCATTACCTTGATGGTGCTTAGAGTCTCCGCCTATATTGCCATGCGAATGACTTTGTTTATCAGAATCATGCTTCGTCGACATATTTCTTCTAAAGAGGTATTGTTGATATACTTTAGGAATTGTTAAATGAGGTTCGTTTATTATACATGCTGTTGAAAAATTTCTCAAACTAAACCCAGAACCTGCTGAAAATGCACAATTGTCGTACCGAAAATTCAAGGTGATCAAAGAGGGCTTCAGTCTACTAATTAGACTTATCTTTAACATCTTAATTTGAACACTTGAAATAATTAATTGAAAAGTGTTTTAGTTTAGCCAATAATTGCCGGTTCTCAGAATAATACTTCGAGGTCGGAGTCTCATGATAAGATTGGTGTACAATAACTACACCCAATTACAAAAATTATGATATTAAAAGAGTATTTTTCTATATATGTGACGGTATGCTACTAGCAAAGAGCTTTTCAACTGTCTCAGTCGATGTAGTTTCAGCAGGCTTGGACGTTTGTTCGCTAACTACCTCGTGTTCTTCATTTTTATTTTCCAGACCAGTCAATTCTCCTCGTAAAAGCTGAAGTTGTTTCGTCAATATACTCTTCTCTTGACTCTTGAATAAACTGGATTTGAGTTGGGGTGTTGGCTTGTGTACATGCATAAAATTACAATGATCACCCCTATTGCAAGTAGAACTCTCATATGCCCTACAGTTGGCATCGTGGAAACTCTCTACTGGAGACAACTCACAGTGGACTGGGCGTCCTCCAAACCACTCTTGGTTTAAAAGCATTACAGCATTGTAGGCCGAATCCTCGTTGGCAAATTTCACGTATACGTTTCCGTTCAAGTGATTATTGTCATTTTCACATACCACCATCGAATAAACTTCACCAAATAATGCAAACTTAAGAAATATATCTTTATAAAAGTGATCAAAGTATTCTTGCACTTGTTTTGGGTTTAATTCTTCGCCGTCATTTTTATTAAGCTTTGGATTTTGGTATAAATTAGGAAGTAAGATTGTATCTGAAGATGATGGTTTTACATGTTTTCTTGAGCATTTCTCTCCATGTCTACATGCACCTATCTTAGTGTAGAAGGTACATATTATTCTATCTTCTCTGTAACTCATATTTCGTTAATTATTCACCTTATGTGTGTAGATATTCGCTTACGATTCTATAAATCTTGCGAAGACATATTTAAATGTTCCGATGGCTGCAGATGCAAGATGCCAAAACTTGAAATATTCATATATTCATTTATTCAGGTTTCATACATAGTCCTACAATATAAAATAGCTAACAAAGATTCAGAGTATACTCTAGAAGGTTTTAGAGTGTATTATTTCAAGCAAAATTCATAAAGTCAAGTTCCTTAGTATATCTATACCCCTTTACTTCGTGTGACTTGCAGATCTGTTGAATTTCTGCTAAGTCATCATCAGTCAACTCAACAATTTGACCGAAGTTCTTGTTAATCCTTTCCTTTGTAGAACCACTTGGAATAGGCAAGATCTTAGTCACTTCGCTGATGCCTTCGAAATTTTTAAGCTCAGAAATTTTTAAAATCCATGAGAGAGACAAAGATTCTAATGAGGTATTCTTCTTGGTGTGGGCAAATTTATGCAACTCCTTTACTAATACCATGTTATGCTTGAAGTTTTCCGGGGAAAACTTGTCAACATGAGTTCTTATATCATTTTTATCTAACAGAGACAAGAAAGTGTCTTCTCTTTCCACAGTGTAATCAGTAAGAAATCCTCTACATATAGGTGAATAAGCAATAATTGGAATATTGCGTTTGGAACATTCTTCTAATACCCCATTATTTATAATATCTTGACACAACAAGGAAAATTCGACTTCAACACAAGAAATGGGAAATACATTGGAAGCCTTCACAATTGACTGTGCTCCTACTTCTGAAAGAGATATTCCATCTATCTTACCTTGCTTCACGTATTCAGCAATGTAGGACACTGTTTCTTCAATTGGCACCTTTGGGTCGACTCTAGCTGCTTCAAAAATAAGTGTTGGTCGAGAAGTCTTATCTTGGGGGAAATACGAAATTATGTTTTCAATTGATTTAGAAATGCCTTCTTTAGATCCATCTGGTACCAAATTTGCCTGAAGGCCACCTTTTATAGAGATAATTAGGTCCTTGGTCAATTTAGGATCACTAGATTCCAAAAATTGTTTGAGCAACTTCAAATTAAGTTCTTTATCCTGAAACCCGTAGAATTCTCCACCATTGAGTAATTTAGTACCTATGTCGCTAGTTGTTACGTATTTAATTGTTTCGATTGACTGTTCGAAAGGAGGTGGATTAGGAGTCCAAGTAAGACTCATGGTACCGTATCCGAATTTATCTTCGAGTTTAATTGCTTGGTAATTTGTGGTTGGTGACATCGTTAGTTTCTAATCAATTGATCTTATAGCTTTTAATATTCTAATTCAACAAGAGGTTCTCTGTCTCCTTTTATACCCTTTGGCAATCTGATAATGGAATACTATCGTTCTGTTATATCCGAGATACGACCGAAGAAATTTCAGTCCCATCAACCACAAATTATCAGAATACGACTAATAACGAACATTAGTAAGCTTCATCACTACCCCTATATAGGTGCGTTCAATGTTTTCCATTTTGAACTATCAAATTATCGTATATGTAACTATTTAAGTGTAGGAACAACAAAACGCAGATCTCGTAAAGATATGTCAAAAATGCTCAAGTTTGCCACTTCTTGTAACTAAGATCCTTGCATAGATAATTGAGGTTTATAGAATCATAAACTACAAGTTTGTATGCAAATTATATATATATAAGATATTACAAGTATAAAGATTCTATAATGTTAAGCATCAAAAACAGAAAACTTGGTGCTCAGTAGACGACTTCATAACACCCTTTTCCCAACCTAACTCGGCTGAAATGTCAATCAAAGATCTCTTCATTTCTGGAGGACCACAAATGAATAGCTTGTTTTCGGCATCTGGAGAAGGCAAATGCTTTTGGATCATTTCCTTTGTCACAAACCCAGTACTTCCTTCCCACCCAGTTGGGGCCTTGGTCAAAGTGTAATGAACATTAAAGTTAGGATATTTCTTAGCAATTTCATCGATTTCGCTCTTCAACAAGATATCGTTATGAGTTTCGTTGGCAAAAATCAAAGAAATCTTAGTGTGATCTTCAGGATTGGTGATAATCTCAGTGATAACTTGCAAAACCGGAGTAATACCCGAACCACCAGCAATTAATCCAATCTCTTTAGCCATATTGGTCTTGTACTCTAATCTCCCTACTGGTCCTCTAAATTTCACGGTTTGTCCTTCTCTAAGCATGGCAAATCTCTTGGAAATCTTACCCGTAGGATATGATTTGACTAAAATATCAAAAAACCCAGTGTCAAACTGATTGGAGATAGGTGAATAATACCTAATCTCATCTTTTCCGTCGATTTCCATACAACATGCAACATTATGTCCTGGTGGAATATTTAATACCTCATCTTCGTTGTTTAACTTGAATCTGTAAATAGCTGAGTTTCTTGAAATAACGGTCTTGTCAATCAACTCAAATTCATTCCATTTAAGGGTGTCCAACGACAGTCTCTTGGAATACGATTCATAAAATTTGAAAGAGCAGATAACAACTATAATGGAAATAGTGTACGGTAAATACTCAACACCAAAAATTAAAGTACCACCAAGCATTAATAAGATTGGTATATAAATACCATGCAATGGCTGCTTCAACAATTCTCTCTTATCTTCCATATTCGACTAGATATTAACGGTTGATTATTATCAATTTAAGATAGTTTATGACTGAAAGATTTCATTTTTATAGGTTCCGGTAATGCCACAGAATTTTTTTTTTCTCGACTTACAAATCACGATAAACAAAACCTGAATTTATTACAGTAAACGATCATAAGAAGAGCTAGAGAAAATATATATAAATAAAGTAAGATTAACCATGTAGTAACCGAGATATATAACACTAAAAAGAAAAATTAATTATATAGAGCGAAACGAGGGGGGTATTAGAGAAAAATTCATTAGAAATAAAATCACAAAATATCAATAGATCAGTATTCTTCTTCTTCTTCAGGATAAGAATCAGTACCTACTTCAATGTAATCTCTTTCTAAAGCAGCCAAATCTTCTCTAGCCTCGGTGAATTCACCTTCTTCCATACCTTCACCAACGTACCAGTGAACGAAAGCTCTCTTAGAGTACATCAAGTCGAATTTTCTGTCAATTCTTCTCCAGGCTTCTGCAATGGCAGTGGTGTTAGATAACATACAGACAGCTCTCTTAGCGGAGGCTAATTCCGAGCCTGGGATGGCGGTTGGAGGTTGGTAACAGATACCAATCTTGAAACCAGTAGGACACCAGTCAACCATTTGAACGGTCTTCTTAGCCTTGATTTGAGCGACTGAGTTTTGTACATCTCTGGTAACAACATCACCACGATATAACAAACAAGTGGCCATGTACTTACCGGTTCTTGGATCACACTTGACCATTTGATTGCCTGGTTCAAAACAAGATGCAGTGATTTCTGACACAGAGTTAGATTCGTGGTTAGCTCTGTTCTTGGAGAACACTGGAGCATAAGAAACCAATGGGAAATGGATTCTTGGGTATGGAACCAAGTTGGTTTGGAACTCATTCAAATCAACATTCAACGAACCATCAAATCTTAATGAGGCAGTGACAGAGGAAACAACTTGAGCAATCAAGCTATTCAAAGAATCAAAGTTTGGTCTGGCAATATCAAGGTTACGACGGCACATATCGTAGATGGCTTCGTTGTCAACCATAAAAGTACAGTCGGCGTGTTCCAAGGTGGTGTGCGTGGTTAAAACGGTGTTGTAAGGTTCAACAACAGATGTGGAAACCTGAGGAGCTGGGTAGACGGCGAATTCCAACTTGGACTTCTTACCATAGTCAATGGATAACTGTTCCAATAATAATGATCCCAAACCAGAACCAGTACCCCCACCTAAAGAATGGGTGAAGAGGAACCCTTGTAATCCATCACATTGGTCAGACATCCTTCTAACTCTGTCCAAAATATCATCCAACATTTCTCTTCCGACTGTATAATGACCTCTGGCGTAGTTGTTAGCCGCGTCTTCTTTACCAGCAATCAACTGCTCTGGGTGGAATAAGTCCTTGTAAGCACCAGTACGGACTTCGTCTATCACATTTGGTTCCAAATCAACGTACAATGCACGAGGAACATACTTACCTGACCCAGTTTCACTGAAAAAAGTAGAAAATCCTTCTTCTCCCCCTTTAGGTCTGTTGTCTAAAGAATCTTCTAAGTACCCATCTGGTCTAATCCCGTGTTCTTTCGAATATAATTCCCAACAAGCATTACCAATTTGACAACCGGCTTGCCCAACTACATATATGTTAGTAATATGTTCATTTGCGCCATTCAGAGCCTGTTTTCTTCAGAATCATCGTCAAGATCGACGTGTTTCACGTCCGATCATTACAATTTTTTTATATCATTAATGCTTCAACATACCATTAATACTAATAACTTCTCTCATAATATGTCTTTATATATCTGCAATGTGTCTTAGAACGTTCCTTGACTACTTTGTAAAGATGTATCTACTTGTAATTACTTAACGTCTTCCTGTTTGTTTACCGCTTAGGAATCAATTTCTCGCTGTTTTAACCAAAAAGCTCAATTTCAAAACAAACAATTGTAGACTTCCCTAAACGGAAATAAATGGAAAATGTAGCTACATCGCATTTTTTCGCATCCCGTTTCGTTTAAATGTTGCAATCGATACACTATAATTGTACATTCCTATATATGTCAAGAATAAAAGCAAACGAAGGTTAAACAAACAAAATATATTTCAATAGAATAAAAATTGAGAAGATCCTAACCTAGAAAAGGGAGTTCTTAACTTTTGACCAGATAGACTCTTCCTTTGGCTTTATGCCTATCATTTCTTGGAACCCGTTGGAAGTGTCTTTCAAGACATCAACTATCGATTTATCCCACTTTGTATCGGAGCCAAAAAGATGTCAGATTGTTCGTTGGCTAATCTGACAAGCTGTTGACGAGATAAAGTAGATAAAAGGTTGAAGTTGTAGCCAAAGGATTGCAAGTAGGATCTCAAGTCAGCATTGGAGTAGGAGACCAAAAGGTATTCCCAGCCATTTCTGGCAGCTTCTTCGACCTTTGGTTTAGCTTCGGCGTATGTACTCTGGATGGCTTCGTTTGCACTGCCAGCATATTGTTTTGCCGTATCGTATGCACTCTTAGCGGTGCTTTCGACTACAGGCTTGTATTCCGCATAGGCGGCGGCGGCCGCGTCAGATGCAGCTTTATATGCTTCTTGAAGCTTTCCTTCGTATTCCTCAAAGTTCTTGCCTACAGCCTCGTTTATGGCATCAGCATACTCTTTGGCTTTTTCTGCGGCTTCGACAGCCTTTGGTCTATAGGCACTGTAGCCTTTTTCGATTGCGTCATTAGCAGCATTAGCGTAGTCCTTGGCCGACCCATAGATGGTATTCATGGCATCGTCAGCTGCAGGTTTGTATTCACCGTAGTTTTTGACTATCGCATCATTGGCGGATGCAAGATAGTCTTGGGCAGCTTTGTAGGCATCGCTCGCAGCTTGTTCGGCTATAGGCTGCTTTTCTTTGATGCTTTTCTCAACAAAGTCATTAACGATTTTCAAGTATTCTTTAGGATCATCAGCAACTTCATTTAGCTTAGCTTTGCCCGCTTTAAGCTGTTCAATTAATTGATTACTCAAAGTGTTGGCATATTCAGAAGCAGCAATACCTGCATTTTTCACTTGTTCTTCAACAAGTGGTTTATTGTCGGCATACGTACTAGACGCATCCTCAACAAATCTGTTGGCATACTCATAAGATGCATCCTTAGCTTGAGATAAGGCATCATCTAAGGAGAACTTTGAATCAGCGTACTTCTCGCTAAGGGTTTTCGCTGCCTGTCTGTAGTATTCAGCACCAATGGAATAGGCAGCTAACATTGTTTTATCGGCTACTGAAGAATCAACAGCCGAATCAAGTTTATCCTTAGCTTTTGATCCACTATCTTTAATATTCTCGTTGACCTTATCAAAAGATTCCTTAAACGACTTCTTATAATCGTCTAAATCTGGCTTATATAAATTTGCCAGGAAATCAAAAGAATCAATTGGAGCTAACGAATTTTGCAGCAAATAATCGCTAACGCTATTAATTAGATCTTCTCTGGTACCCTTAACATCTTTTCCTTTGTTCGCTAACCATTCCTTAATTTTATCGGTAGACCAGCTTTGAACTAACCATGATGCGGGGTTGGAATTTTGCTTATAGGCTAACTTAACATCCTTGCTTCTTTTCACCAAATCGACTAATTGATTTTTTGATGCAAATTGTGAAAATTTAACATTTCTAGATCTCAAAAATTCTTTCAAACGATCCTTCGACCACTTTTCAACCCCGATTAAGAATGTATCATTGATGACATTATCAAGAGTTTTCTTTTTATCTGCTCCTTTCGAAAGATATGGGTCAGCCGACTTCTTGGCCTGATCAGTCCATTTCTTGATGTCTGAAATTAAGTACTTTTGATGAGACTTGGCAATCTTTTTCAACTTTTCAGCATCCAATTCATCCGCATACACACTAGGTTTTGTGTTAATGAATCCATGGTAGTATAACCATTCTCTTAATTGGCCATATGACCATGTATCAAAAAACTCGTCTTTAACTTTGCCTGTCTTATCGAAAATACTTGCTTGTGACAAATCAAGCGAATCTAACAAAGAATTCTTGTTGTCAATATTTGATAAGGATGCAATATAGTTATTATGCTTAACTTTGCTCAACAAGCTTTCTCTGTCGTCCTTGGAATCAAATTCTAATTCGTGGTCTTCTAACCATTGTTTTAAGCGGTCAACGCTCCATCCCTGATAGATCCAGTCTCCCGGGTAGTATCCCGAAACATCATGCCCCTGTGCAATATTGTCGTATTCCTTTTGCGCCAAATCAATTAAATCTTGCTTGCTATAGTTCTTGTCGAACTTGATCTTATTATTGGTCAAAAAGTCCTTGAGACCCTCAATCGACCACGATTCGAAGATCCAATTCTTTACCAGCTTGGCGTGTTCAGCATTGGATTCAAACAAGTAATTCCAATTGATATGTGCCGGAAAAATATTGGTCAATGCATCCTTAGGATTAGTTGCTAATATATGTTGCTGCGAATTGTCCTTAACAGTTTCCCGGTGGATGTTCTTCAAATTTTCAAACTCCACTTCTGCCTTCTTGCTTAATTCTTCGAACGATTCTTTCTCACTGAATTCGATCTGACGATCTTTCAAGAAGTGTTTCACGTCTTTCTCTTTCCACGTCGATAATCCATCTGTTGCAGCCACTAGACTGCCAGCTAATAGACCGACCAATGCGAAATTAAATACCTTCATCGCTTATAATTGAGAATATTTTTACTTTCTAATAAATCTTAATGGAATGATAATGAAAAATCTACCTTTTCATATATATTTATAAAACGAAGGAAGGTCAGGTATACATTGATGCTTAATAGCAAGCAAATAGACTGGAATTTGGAACAATTATGGCCGGTCACGTGTGTGCCAATCGGGATGATTGTGAACATTCAAGTCCCTAATAAAAGCAAGTAACCATTGAAAAGGAGGTATTTTGTGGTTCAAACGTAAGGGATTGTGTCTCGGGAGTCAGTTAGTTGCTACGTAAAAAAAATTTTGCAATTCAAGGCTTTGAAGGTGTGATACACAGATAGCATTTCGAATTGCTAAATACAATTGAACTCAATGCATAGAAAATATGTAGCCTTATAGTATTAGAGTCTATTTACGGATTCGAATTTATATTAGTAGGCAAGACGTTGCATTTTCCTTAAAATTATCTCTCTGGTGGTGGTAAGAAATAGTAGCAAGAGCATGCTCCGAATATGGTCAGTCATTAGGCGTAGGAATTGAGCAACCAAAAGACCATTTGATGGTATATTGATTAAGGGTTATAGAGACATGTTGTTATGGTAGATATAAGATTTTAGATCTACTTTTCTTTGTTTGCGTTTATTAGATCGTGAATCTCAATTTTTGAAAAATTTAGGTCTTTTGCAAATATTAGGAAATTTTACGAAAAATAGTACTTTTATGGGGATATGTTAATTAGAGCAATACTTGTAGTAAGCAAAGACAGGGGCAATCTCAATGGACGCATATGTCAGTGGTTAAGTTTAATCAGTCTCTATCATAGTTTGTTCAAGTCATGATGTCCCGATTTGCAGCTATTTGTGCGATTAAGGATGCCTGAATTGGTTCCTGATCCTTAATTCGGGACTCGGTTAAAACGATTTAGAGCGTAGAGACATAAGAAAAGATGTAACGGTCGATTTTAGAGAATAAAAACCAGGCTGGATACAATTGAGGCATTTTAGCTTACTATTAAACCAAGACGGTATATTTTATAAAAATTAATTAACTATTGAATGGAAACTATCATCATTACGTCAAAATAGTTATAAATAGATGGTGTCTCGTGCACATCCATATAGAGCTAATAGAGAAAAGATAAATAATAAATGAATCTAAAACAAACAAAGTGATCAACTGTATTGTATTATATACATTTAATCCTTTTTAGTGTATTGTCTTCTAAACTTATCATCGATTTCAGTCAAATAATAGGTACCACTGGCAAGAGTTTCAGTACTACCAGATGGCTTGAATGACTTTTGTAAGTGTGCCTTTTCTCTCAATTCGATAGCTTCAATGAATTGTTCTGGGGTCTTAGTAACTCTACCTTCAGATAATTTGTGGTCGAAGTCCAAATTCTTAGTAATTTTAGAAATGTCCCCCTTAACAACGACAGATAATAAAGTAGATGCTAAACCAGAACCGTATGAGAAAATACCGATTCTCTTGTTTTGCAATTGTTCGGAACCAACGTAGTACAACAAAGAGGATAATGAAGCCCATGCGGATGCAGAATACATATTACCGGTGTTTGTTGGAACATTCAAACTTGGTTGGACTCTCGACTTGGTTTGTTCCTTAGCTAAACCAACAAACAATTTTTCCAAGTTCTTGTCGACCAAAGATTGGTCGTAAGATAAACCGTCGATAGACTTCTTGGTTTCTTCATCAATCAAGTCCTTGAACTTAGATGGATCGGCTCTGTAGTCATTGTACAATAATCTGGCGTAAGACTTGGTGACCAACTTGCAGGTTGGAACGTGGAACGCGTTAAAGTCAAAGTGGTCAAAAACACCAACAGTCTTACCAGCGTCTTTGGTGACCTTCTTGGAGTAGTTCTTGTAACAGTGGTCGACCGCCTTGACGTAACATGCTAACGAAAAGTGTCCATCGACTATAGGGTATTCAGAGGTGAAATCTGGCTTGTAGAAATCATAAGCGTGTTCCATGTAAGAACCTCTGGTGGAATCAAAGACAATTGGCGCGTCTGGACCAATCAACAAAGCAACAGCACCAGCACCCCCAGTAGGTCTAGCAGCACCCTTCGAATAAATGGCAATGTCACCACAGACAACAATACCGTCTCTTCCATCCCATGCGGACGATTCGATCCAGTTAACGGTGTTCATCACAGCAGAAGTACCCCCGTAACAAGCGTTGATGGTGTCAATCCCTTCAATGTCGTTGTTTCCTTCGAATAATTGCATCAACACTGACTTCACCGACTTCGACTTATCTAACAAAGTTTCAGTACCAACTTCTAATCTACCAACCTGGTTGGTGTCAACACCGTAGTTCTTAATCAACTTAGACAAAACGGTCAACGATAAAGAGTAAATATCTTCTCTGTCGTTGACGAATGACATGTTGGTTTGTCCTAACCCAATCGTATATTTTCCAGCAGCAATTCCGTCGAATTTTTCTAATTCTGTTTGGTTAACACATTGTGAAGGAATATAAACTTCGATACCTTTGATACCAACGTTTTGCGGTCTAGTCATGTTTTTTTTACTATTATTTCTTGTATAATTAAAAGAAATCTTCTTTATCTAGGAATCTTCTTTTAGCCGCCATATGAAATGTGTCTAGTTTTACGTGAAAAATTGAAAATTTAAACGACATAAACGACGCGTTCAATATGCAGTACACGTTGATTTTTTGTGTTCACGCGACATTCGGTGATGATTAATGGGACATAATTACGGATAGGCTGGTAAATTTATGGACATTGGAGACGTAATACACGGATTGAAGGACTCAGACCGAAGCATAATGAAGAGTGATATTCCAAAAACACTTCAGAAATTTGTGAGCACGAAGACTGTTCACCAGACATGGGCAAAGACATTTTTATGCAAGCCACAGGCGATTTTTCAACCAAGGACGGTGGAAGAAATCCGGGAATTGGTGGACCAGGCAAGAGTAAATGGGAAAACGATCATGACAGTAGGATCGGGGCACTCCCCCAGTGATATGACGATGACAAAGGAGTGGTTGTGTAACTTGGATAAGTTCAACCAGGTGTTGAAAAAGGAGGAGTTCAGAGGTCCGGCCAAAAATGGAGAAGGAGAAGAGGTGAAGTTTGTGGATTTGACGGTGCAAGCAGGGTGTCGTATCTACGAATTGAACCAATATTTGAAGGAGCACGAGTTGGCGATTCAAAATTTGGGGTCCATCAGTGACCAATCTGTGGCCGGGGTGATCTCGACAGGTACGCACGGATCTACTCAGTATCATGGGTTGGTGAGTCAGCAGGTGGTATCAATTGATATCATGAACGCAGGTGGGAAGTTGATAACGTGCTCGTCAGTCGAGAACCCGCAATTGTTTAAGGCGGCCATGCTTTCTTTGGGTAAGATTGGGATTATAACTCATGTTACGCTCAGAACGATTCCAAGATACACCATCAAGTCGAAACAAGAGATCATCAAGTTTGACACGCTTTTGAAAAACTGGAACACTATTTGGTTAGACTCGGAGTTTATAAGAGTGTGGTGGTTCCCGTACTCGGGAAATTGTGTTTGTTGGAGAGCCTCGAAGTCCACCGAGCCATTATCGGCACCAAGAGATTCGTGGTATGGTACATGGTTTGGAAGGACTTTCTATGAGTCCTTGTTGTGGGTCTCAGTCCACATATGTCCTCGTTTGACTCCATTTATTGAAAAATTTGTGTTTAAGAATCAATACGGCGATGTGGAAACTCTTGGTAAGGGTGATGTAGCAGTGCAGAACTCTGTCGAAGGGTTGAATATGGATTGTTTATTCTCGCAATTTGTTAACGAATGGTCGGCACCTTTGAGTCTTGGTCAAGAAGTCTTGATTAAATTGAATGATGCAATTCAAAGTGCCCGTGAGCAAAACAGATTCTACGTTCATGCTCCAATTGAAGTTAGATGTTCTAATCTTACATATTCAGAAAAGGCATTTGTTGATGATAATGGCGAACCTTCATTGTATCCAAATAAAAAGTGGTTGGCCAACAGAGATAGACTCAGTCCTGGTCCTATTCCTGGTAATAATTTGCGTCCTTACTTGGATAATTCTTCAAATTTGAGATATGCTGGTGATGACGCCGAAGTGACGAATGATCAATTATCGTTGTTTATCAATGCTACAATGTATAGACCTTTCTATACTAATGTTGACTCTCAAGAATGGTATCAATTGTTCGAAGATATTATGACTCAAGCAGATGGCAAACCCCACTGGGCTAAAAATTTCATCGGTGTAAATGGTGAACATAGAACTGATGAAGATTTGCAAACTCAACTTGAATATGGTGGTAAGGACTTTTACAGTATGAAGGGCTTTAATCCAATTTTGAAGAATTGGTTTGGTGACAACTTGATTGAGTACAACAAGGTTAGAAAGTCGATGGATCCAAATGGCGTCTTTTTAAGTGGTAAAGACTGGGCTGTCAGAAATGGTATTTTAATAGATGTTTGATTATGTGTTTTTAAAATTTTATATTTATATATTCATTGTTACATATGAATTAATGGTAATTGTTACTGATATATATATATATGAACTATTTGAAAGGTGCCTTTAATGGATCAATGACTGTACCTTGCTTAGTAATGATTCTAGGCATGGTCAATTTTTGATGAGTCTCTCTTGATGTCCACTCTTGACCCACGGGCATTCTTAAGGCTCTTTCGTACTGCTCCCTAGACTCATAAGGAAATGGCACTCCTGATGATTGGTATTTCAAATTCTTCTTGTTCACCCTTTCATTAATGATAACGTTCTTTAAATTCTTATCCTTTCTCTTATCTTTTTGAACAACACCATCGATTTTACGGACTATCTTCTTCTTAGGCTTTTTCTTTCCTCCAGCCCAATCACCCCACCCTGGTAACGTCACATCTTCTTCTTTATCACCTTCATCCTTGACGACTTGTCTTTTCTCTTTTTCAAATTCCCGTACAACATCGTCACCAGCAAATGCCTGTTTGATTAAATCCTTTTGTTTGAACATAAGACCATCGTCTTTATTTTCATCATCAGAATTTTCATTATCGCTATCATGGATATCTTTGGTCTTCAAGGTTTCATGCATATCAATTATGGTGTCTTCATCATCTCTTTGAGAAGCACTTCTCTTTTTGTTTTTAGCAATCTTTTGCGCTGATTTTGACAATTTTGATGAGGTCTTGTCCACCTTATGGATCTTTCGAGACTTTTGCATTGCCTCTTCAGAATCATTATCTGCTAACCAAGGATTGACATCCTCAGCTTCGTCTGATGCTTGCAGTTTCTTCTCTTTTTCAAGTTCATTAGTTGTCTTGTTCGACTTTTTGTTAGAAATTGAGTTATCCACCACTTTAAATTTCTTACTTAATCTATTCTCCAAATTGTTAGACTCATCATCTCTAACTTCATCCAATGTTCTTTGATTAATTTCATTCATGTCGGATTTCATTGAGGATGCACTTGGAGTATATACTCTTCTACCTTGATTTTTTGAAACATTAATAGAGGTAGCTTCGTCTTGAAATTCATCTAAATCACCACCATTTTCTAATTTCTTTAACATCTCTAATTCTTTCAAGTTCTCTTGCTTGTGACGTTGATCAGCCGATTTCATAAAGTCCATGGCCAATACACCCTTTCCTAACTTGTTTCTATTTATCTCATCTGCTTCATTGGTTTCATCATCCTTGGCATATTCACCCTCTATATCAGAAATTTCCTGGTCACTTTGATCACCCTCTTCATAACCTAATTGTTTAGACCTTAATTTTTCACCTTGTCTTAACATTTCTTCTAACTCATCTCTGTTAGATGCATCTTTTGACAATCCACTCTTAATCAATGATTTGGCCCATTTAGATTGGGTTTTGTGTTTTAATAACATTCTTTCTTTGGCTCTCTTCATATCATGTTCTTCATTGTCAGATTCCATATCAGATCCCTCAACCATTTCTTGAGTTCTTAATCTTTCCTTCTTTTTAATTTTATGATATGTCTTGGATTTTATCTTTTTGATACGCTTGGCCCTCTTTTCATCACGGAACATTAATTCTCTCATTAACCTCAACTCATTAGTTCTCTTCTTCAACTCTTCTGCCGATAAGTTTGCAGCCGCAATCTCCTCGAACGTGGCTTCTTTCTTGTCATCAGTTAAGGCAGAGTCTTTAAGAATTCCTTGAATCTTCTTCTCTAATTCTGTGGTTGGCTCATTCGATGATCTGAAAGTAGTTGCAGTATCATTATGCTTAACTTCTGGATTTAATGGAAACTTTAATACTTCAGCCTTCCTGTTTTGTTGGACGGTGTCATCCCATTTACTGATATCTTCATTGGTGATCTCATAAGCGATTTGTCTTTCATTTCTTTCTTGTATACGCTTTGGAAGTGGTGTTGCTAATGCTTTTTGTTTGCTGTTATCTTCTCCATCGATCAAAATGGCATCCTTAGATACAGATGGATCAACCGCCGATATCATATCTTGCAAAGACAATGACGCACCCTTTGTTGGCAAGTTAAATTCATTTTCATCAGTGGTTTCAGTAATCAACCTTTTTCTTTCTTTGGCTGGCTTTTTTAATTGCGATTGTAACTTGGATACGGTATTTGCTAAATCAACTTCATCATCGTCATTTTCATTTTCAGATGCAGACTTAAAGATATCTTCTTCATCATCACCGTCCTCTTCACTGTCTTCTTCGCTCTCTTCTTCGGAAGACTCTGATTCCCATGCATCATCCAATACAAGTTCATTCTTATTGTTAGACTTTTGAAGGCTTTTAGCGTCTTTCTCATCCATATCCCAAGCTTCTGATAATGTAACTAATTGGCTTTCGTCTATACTTGCATAACCTTCATCGTCGTCTTCTCCCTCACTATCACTGCCACTGTAATCACCTCTTTTTCTTTTCTTCTCTTTCAACTTCTTTTTCTTTTGTTTGTCTCTAATGGTCTGGGAAAATTTTGACGTTAAAACGTCATAATCGTCATCGGATCCTAATGCTTCATCTGAGTCTAATTCTTCATCGCTGAATTCTTCACCATCTTTACTCTTATTAGCCAAAAATTTACTAGCATCCATGATCCCATCGTGGACTTCTAAGTCATCTTCATCGCCAGAACGATTGTACGAATCATCATCTGATCTATTTTCAGCACGTTCAGCGATTTGAAATGCATCAAGAACCTTTTGGGAACTTCTCTTCCTCGTTGAAGACTTATTCTTGCGTGCCATGATCGCTCTACCTTCAACTAATCCTATATTATCTTAGAATATTCTTTATAGGTACTTGATGAGCTCTTGCAGCTGAGATGGTTCTTGCAAAAAAAAAAAATTATTGAAGAGCTGAGCACGTGACATAGTACCCAGTTAAGACTATAAACTACAACAGGATAAACTACAACAACAAATCGTATATCATTGTGTATTAATTAAGGAAGACTATCTAGTGGATTATAATGCATCTAATCTATCGTTAATTTCTTCTGCAGACAATTTTCTGAATCTTGGACCCTCGACGTTAGTACCTTTAAAACCTAACAAATGCTCTTGGGAATCACTAACTATTGCAATGTCCAAATTTTCACCAGTCAATTCACCATCTACGGACTCTTTCAATGCCAACAAAGAAACATGGATAGCATCTTCCAATTCTAAATTTTCATTCCATCTTTTTTCTAAGAATGTTTTAGCAGAAACAGAAGTTTTACCGATTGCGGTGGCCTTCCATGGGAAATAACTTCCTGAAGGATCAACCTGATATAATTGGAAGGAGTCGGAGTGCTTGTCGTAACCACCAACTAATAATGAAACACCGAATGGTCTGATACCACCAGATTGGGTTGATTCTTGCATCACTTTTGCAATTTCTTGTACCATTACCTTCACAGGCGGATATTCGTTGTAAATTCTTTTGTAGTTAGTGTGAGCAAGCTTACGGGCCTTATCGACAAGCACACGGAAATCTGGGCCCATCCCCGAGTATGACATACCAATATCTGGCGTAATTAATTCCACTTTAGTATTGGAGTCAGCTTTGAGAAGATTCGAGTTAGCTTTACGTTCTGTGGCAATCACAACCCCGTTGGCAGATTTGATACCAATGGTGGTAACACCCTGTTTGACTGCATTTAACGCATATTCAATTTGTACCAATTTACCACTATTAATTGTTAGTAATGATCATCACGAACGGAGAATCGGCCCAAAATGGTCAATTCCTCTAAATCCATCTCCTATGTCCAATTTAACTCAAATCCAAATTACATACCTTGGTGAAAATGTTGTTAATGAGAATGAATATCTATCAGCCATTATGAAATTTTATACGCTTAAAATTGGTTTACAATTATAACTTCTTGAATTGTAATTCAATATATCTTTTCTTTAGTTCAAAATGCTATCAAGCCGCCGAAAATAACTATAAATTATGATTAATAGATGTAAAACTTATGTAAATTGATTTAGGAGTTTGAAATCTTTTTGCCTTCGAATGTTGATACACTAAATGTCGCGATTCGAACTTGCGACATATTTACAAATGTCGTACGATACAAGACCCCAATGCCGTCTTATCTCTTAATTGTTCTAGTGTATGATGAACTGTAATTGGGTAATTTATTAGTAAGAACTATGAATACTGGTAACAAGTCATACGGTTTAGATGAATCAAATCCCCTATTGGTTGATAAGGGTGATTTTGAGATAGTCTGTTAGAGCTCTGTTAGAATCTTCACTGGTTGCGAAAGATGTATTCTGAAGAATGCACTTCTCTGAATGTTTCTATTGATGAACACTTATTGCTCAAATATGTTTATGTAATCCTAATATTCAACTATATGAGGAGAGTTACTTACTAGATAATTATATATACAATCATTATCTTGTGCTTAAGAAATAAATCTTTTTTTCTTCAGCACCACTGTAGTAATGGGTAAAACAAGGGTGACGTCATTTTTTCTCCAAGTAATGTTGATGAAGCATTGAGCAGTATTGATGATTTAGATATTAAACAGCATGGATCCTTAGCCAGTGATAGAGAAGAATCAATCGACAATGAGTTGGCAGAAAAAACAAATAATATTAAGAGAAGTTAGAGTTAGTTGAGAAATTATCTAAAACATGCTGCAAATTGTCCTTCGACATATTCCATGGATAATACTAGTATTATTGATTCAAGAAACATTTATTAAAACTATTATACATTATAAATAGATTATTGACAGGACCAAGCCTAATCTTCATCTTCATCATCAGTATCCGGATATCTTGGAGTACCCTTTGGACTGTTCAACCAATCAATGTAACGCAATCTTCTTCTTTCGGCTTGTGCCTTCTTTTCGTTTCTAGTCATCTTCTTCTTTCTAGTTCTGACCTTGATGTTAGCAGGTGAATCATCGTCATCAGCTCTCTTTTTGGTTGGTGTTGGCGCAGGAGAAGGAGAGGCAGAATCACCGTCTTCAAATCTTTTGTTATCAACAGCAGCGGTACCCTTTTGGACAACAGCACCGTTTTCAACATGCCATTGTTCAGGACACAAGGCACCGACGAATTCGTTATTATGCGAAATCATAACGACACCACCAGCCCAATCTCTGATAGCAATAGCCAAACCTCCTAAAGAATCACGATCCAAATAATTAGTAGGTTCATCTAAGACTAACAAATGAGGATTATTCCACATAGCACCAGCAATAACGACCTTAACTAATTGACCACCAGATAATGATCCCATAGGGGTATGGTCAGCAATATCACCGTCTAAACCAACACCTTCGAAATGCTTTCTGATAACAGTAGGGGTTAACTCACGGTAACCCAAACCTTCTCTAGATGCTTCATGATCATCGAACTTTTGGAGTAATTTGTGGAAACCATGTTCAAGTAAGACTTCCTTTGGAACCCATGAGTTGTACTTTGGTAACCACCATTTCCATTTGACTTCATATTGGTAGGACTTCTTCAACTTTTGTCTACCAACAATAGCTTCGATGGCTCTTGGCCCTCTACCATCTTGAATATCAATTTCTTTTGCCATTTGTTCTTTTTCATCTTCAGAGATTTTACGTGATTCTTTCAATAAAACTTCACGATCATCACCAAATCTATATCTCCACTGCAAATATTGGTTTGCAGTCTTTTCCTTGTGTTGTTCAACATGCTGTAAAGCATGTTGGGCAATATAACCAATTCTTAAATTTGGATGCTTTTCAACCTTACCTTCGTTAGGGTTTAATTCAGCAGTTAATAATTTAATCAAGGTAGATTTACCAGCACCATTTGGACCCAAAATAGCCACACGTGAAGACAACGACAAGGAGCACGAAACATTTTCTAAAGATGGTTTAGATGCACCTGGGTATGTAAATGTAACGTTGGACATACGAGCAACAGCACGTGTGTTAGATTTAACACCAGTTAAAATACCTGGAGGTGGGAATGCCATCTTAACGTTTGAATCGGATAAAGTATAGTAGGATTTACCTTCTGGCTTGACCTTAACAAACTCTGATAAATTACCTTTATAGTAGGCCAATTTCTTGTTTTCATAATGGATAATATCAGTACAGACCTTATCTAAGAAACCGGAGTCATGCGAAACAATCAACGAGGTGATGTTAGTGTTTTCAATTAAATAGTCCTCAAGCCATTTAACATTGGCAACATCCAAGTGATTTGTAGGTTCATCTAACAATAACACATCAGCCTTCATCAACATAGCTCTGGCCAATTCTAATTTCATCTTCCAACCACCGGATAAGGAACCAACTTGCTGATCTAATCTTTCTTGAGGGAATCCAACGGCCAATAAAGCCTTAGCAATTTCGTCACGACCAACACCTTGCAATTCAGGGTCCGAAGCGATAAACCCAACCAAGTCCATATCAGCTTCTGAACCTTGTAACTTATGCTCAACAAAACAAGTTTTCAATTGATCTGGGGTTGGGAAACCTTCTAATTGGCCTTTAGAGATAGCTCTCATCAAAGTAGACTTACCAGCACCATTTCTACCACACAAACCATATCTGTGTCCTTTAATTAAACGCAAATTGGTCTTGTTTAATAACATACGAGAACCGTAGGCTAATGAAAAGTCAGCATTGACAATCTCGATTGCACCTTCTTCGTCATCATATACCTTGGTAGAAACAGCGGTGAATAAATCTCTTAAGTTAGCAAGAACCTTGCTGATATACTTTTCCTTTAATTCATTGTCAGAATTAGTGATAGCCATGTTTAAGTAATCAGTAAGACGTTTCCAATCATTAACATTGGCATCAGCTTGTAAAATAAATGCCAAATAATTGGAAATAGTTTCGTCTGAATCGACATGCAAAGTTTGTGCAACAGATTTCAACTCATCATCCATATTTTCAGTGTAAAATTCTCTTGCTTGAGTCAAATTAATTCTACCATGGAACATTCCATCGGATTGTTCGTCCTTTGCATCTTGCAAAACGGCTAACGCCTTTCCAGCTAATTCTCTAACTTCTGGTAAAGAGGCGTTGTTAACAACTTTTTGAACACCTGGTAATAAAATTGGGATATATACTTCAATTTCACGCTTGTTGTTGACCAATCTAGTCAAATTTTCAGTAACAGTGACAGTTTGTCTTAATTGATCATTTGAAGTAGATGACATATTTAATGACTTATCCAAAATTGGAACCAAAAGAGATAAAACTGGTTCAGTGACTTCAGCAACGAAGGTAACAGATGACAAATTCTTAATACATTCTGGAACTTTCTTTGGATCTGATAAAGTTTCAACAATCAATTCAAACTTGTTCTGTAAATCTAATGAGTCCAAAACCTTTACGAATTTCATCATAATCTTCAAGCCATGCTTGGCTAATTCTGGCTTGAAATCAGTAGACAAATCAGTTAAAACAGGAACAGTGTTGACGAACTTCAATTCTAATAAATCAGCTGGGACATCATCTATCAACTTGTCAAAGGTATCTAATGCGGCAATTTTAGAATTCCACTTAGCTGAAGAAGATAAGTAACTTAACAAGGCATCAATTACTATGGATCCAGCTGCTTCAACAGGGAATATACCATACAATGAATCAGCTGCGGTCTTAGCAGCCTTAACACAGTTCTTATCTTTATCAGCGCACATATCGTAACAGTTACTGAAAAATTGCAAAAGATATGCCTCGCTTGGAGTTTGACCACCAAGTTTAATCACTAATTGCTGAATAATGACCATGGCGGATTCTCTTACTAAAGGAGAATTTTTAGGTTTGGATAAGGACTTAAGAATATCATTTAATTTCCATTCATCAATAACCGATAAGGAAGACTCTGCAACAGCATTGGCAATAGCTTCTGCTTCAGTTTTGATTTCGGAAATCTTGGTAGCATGTTCAATGTTCGATAAATTTGCCTGGATTGGAATATCACCGACATTCAACTTGCTTAATGCAGTATTCAATGAGGTTAAAGATGCAGTAGACGAGTTTGGATTAGGAGTACTTGGAGTAACAGATCCACTTCCTGGTAAAGAACCATTAGGAGTGCTAGCATACGAATCTTGATAAGAATACGGAGAAAATCCTCTATTTGCTCTGTTATTATTAAATCCTCTATTCAAAGTTTGCCCTTTAGGTTGTTGTTGTTGGGCCTGTTGCTTCAAAAAGTCATCAAATGATTGAGGCGCCATTTTGAATATGTATCTAGTCTATAATGCCAACAATCTATACTTGAACTTAGAATTAATAGCAAATCTATATATGGAATTATGGAATAGAATTAAAATTTTCGAGAAGAGCTCA